GCGTTATGACTCATCTGTCTATTCATACGGTTGTACGGCGGAGCTGAGGAGCGTGTCATTGAGTGGGAATGTGAACACGAACGAGTGAGTTTGTTTGTTGTTCAACGCCGCACTCAGCATTATTTCAGATATATGACGGAGGTCTGTAAATAATCGAGTGTGGACCACACAATCTATTGATTAACATCATGAGCATCAATCAACGCAACTGAGATACAATAACATGCATCAACCAAATCAGTGAGCCTGACCATCCGATCCCCTTTGTCTCCTCTTACGACAAGCAGAGTCGTCTTTTACGGCAAGCATGGGTTGCTGAACACCTGTTCTACCCCGGATCTTCACGGGTGGAACGAACGAGTGAGAATTTGGATGTAGACGCGTTCGAGGGTTTGAATGTATTATTCACATGGGCAACCAATGCTGTTTTCTATATCATTTAAATATACCTCTTTTACTCTCCGGAAACTGTTACCACTGCTCGTTTACTTACACCAAAGACCAAAAGTACACTCAGTATACCAAAATTGGAAACAACAATTAAGACTTTAGTTAAATTTTCGTTAATGTTTTTATTCCCTGAAAAGTTAAAAAAACAGCGACTTAAGAAGTTATAAATATATTGTGTACTTTACGTCGCTAACGATATAAAATTTGATGATAAAATATTGAATCAAGGCATACGCAAAAATTGCAAATCGTTTAACGATGAGAAAATATTCTTTAGTGAGTGAGTGAATGTCGTTTTACGACACAATTGCTAATATGCACCTATTCGCGGGTATATATGTCTACGTGTTTACTGTATGTTTAGCAAACCAGCTGATGCAGGTGTCAAAACCAATACTCCATGCTTCTCGTAAGAGCGGAATGTTTACGGAGATGCGACTGGTTACAGGCGGTGACCGCATATAAATGCTCGCACTATCAACCACTGGTCTGCCTGGTCCGGATTCGATCATTTACAAGTCTCCCTGATATAGCCGGTGCCAACTGCTATACACGCATTGCTATACACTCACTTCACCCACCGGGGCGGTCGGGCAGCCTTGCAGTTAAAGCGTTCGCTCGTCACGCCGAACACCGGGGTTCGATTACCGACATGGGTACAGTGTGTGAAGCCCATTTCTGGTGTCCCCCGCCGTGATATTGCTGGAATATTGCTAAAAGCGGCGTAAAACCATACTCCCTCACTCACTCACTTCACCCACCGCACGAACATGTTTCAAGGGACGCAACTCTGCACGGCGAATACGGCGCCTCAGACGACTGGGCCACCCGTGCCCCCTAGAATTGATAGAAACCATACAAGAATATCTTATATGGACTATGAACAGTTTAACACAGTTGGAGGTACTGGGTATAGTACACTCTTTCAAGTGAGGACAGCTTTAAATTGATTGTTTACTGATGTTGACAAGCAGCTGGTTGCCTGGCCCAGAATTATTTAATCAATTATTTAAAGTCCGCACTGATATTCCTATACTACTGGAAGAGGCATGGCATGCATTCACAGGCTCATCACGCGTTGGTGTACAACAGCTGCAATTTCGGAAAGCTTTTCCTGATAGGAACATCCAGTGCTAAGTGTTATATAATTGTCCACTTATCCAAATGCTACCCGTTTCAAAAGGCTTTGTAAGATTAGAAAAACTAATACAATGTAGCACATCAGGAAGAGAATTTATGGATGTCAACTTCTTTATTATGAGGAAAACAACCTTCGGAGTGTGTGCTTACTCCTTCATCAGGTGAATGAATGCTATGAGGAAGGGAGCATATATATGTACACGTTAAAACAACAAAAGTAATAAGATAACAAAAGGTGGAAACTTAACAAGGGAAGCCAACAGATAATTGGCGCTGACTAGCAATAGACAATGAAAGCCAACACTGTACAGTAATTAGCGCTGATAGTTATGGACAACTGGAAGCCAGGAATAGAATATCACTGATAAGAAAATGGCAATGGACAACAGACAATGGGAGGCCGAGGGTAATTAGCCCTCTGCCTCATATCATTCATTCACCTGATGAAGGATAACGTTATAATAGGTGTCAGCAATTCTCGCTCGGTTTACGTGGGAAGACATGTTACAACTTTTGAGACGAATGACAAGAATTTAGTAGCCGTGGTAACAAGATTTATCCATCACTCTTTTCATGAAATAATCCACCAATACTTATAATAACATACCAAATAATAACTTGATAAACAAGATCTGTTTATGAAGCGTGAAATATCATGAGTAAGTTAAGATTTATACAGATCCATAACCCTTGGCCATATCAGGATCATCTGTTAATTAGCTCGAATCCCTGATTATCCCTGAAGATTTCCCTTGGTTTGTCAGCACCATGCTCGGGTCTTGTGGATTTCACCAAAGTGGTAAACGTCTTCGACGTGTGCAGCCTTGGAACTTCCCTCCAACATCAAGCTGGTACGCTATGATATTGCGGACTTATTGTCCTTTCACTCTACCTTGTAACGTCGGACTGTAAATAATTCAGTATCAATCATGTTTGATATTATAACCTATTTCCTACACCGTCTGCGTGCGACAACACAAAATCACCCTGGGATACTGTGAACGTATTCTGCGCCGGAATTCCCACGAAACATGACCAATGTCCGACAAGATGTCAATTAGCTTACCATAAATCCGCTGACTGGCAGTGTAAGATCCAGGGAAAAATCCACTTCAAAACATCAATTATCTTAACATTTCTTTCGGACACTATACAGTGTACGGTTGCTGGAGACTATATGTACAGGTTTGGATTTCTATTTGATTAAATTGTGCCTGACCTCTGTTTACGGTCAAGGTTGCCAGAGGTTACATTATTGAATATGTTTATTTGTTTTCCCTGACAGGTCACGTGCAAAAGATAAATATTAATCTTGCCCTGTATGTGGAACAATATTCCAGCAGCTCCAACCTTTGGTGTCTACATTTTAGAACTTTTGAGGTCAATCCGAGCATGCTCTGTCTAGGAACGAGTGAGTGAATATGGTTTTAAGCCGCGTTTAGCAATATTCCAGCAATATCACGGTAGGGGACACCAGAAATGGGCTTCACACATTGTACCCATGTTGGGAAACGAACCCGGGTCTTCGGCGTGACGAGCGAATGCTTTAACCACAAGGCTAGCCGACCGCTCCATCTGGGTACGAAGATTTCAAAGAGCGTCATATGACCCTTGCTCAGAAGTTGTTTGATCAACATTCAAAGCATCGGTATAGCTTTCAGAAAGTTTTATGATACACATGGGGAGTATATTTAGAAGTTTGATGCATAAGTGCCAAAAAATGATGTCCGATGCAATTCCATGTTTATGCCTCCGAACACGCAGAAACTATTGAAGTCATATTTTATAAATAAATAAGACAACAATATTAACTTCACAAGTGTTTATTTAATCATTAACATAACAATAATGCATATAAGGACACAAAATCAGTGAAAACGATCAGCGCAATAATGCCAAACAAACCTAGCCCACTCTGATCGGCCAATCAGGAAGCATTAGTTGGTTATGGGCGTGGCCTAATTTGCTTTTGGTTAATGGAAGCATAATCGAAAACTAAATGGCTTTAATAAAATCATATGCTATGGAATCACGTGAAATGTCTTTTCTCATTAATATAAAACCGTTCGACTTCAGGGTACATGCATATTGTATTGTCTTCATTATAAAGCCATTCCGATACATCCACATGCCAGTATTAATAATTCTAAGGCACTAACAGTCTCCAAAGCATAGAAAGTAGAAAAATAACAAGGTTATTTGTGTTAACAATGTAATAACCTTGTGGTGTAATGATTGATATCCACCCTGACGTGATAGGTCCTGACCCCCACACCGGACCTATCGCCATCATCGTCTACACCCTCTTTGAAAGAAAGTAAAAGTGACATACATTTACGTTCTCTTCAGAAATAGACGAAATTCGAATTTCTGTTGGTGGCGTTGTTTAATCATTTGAGTTCATTCAGTGTAGACTTGGGTGCATTGCCAAACCGAAGTTTCATCGCACCGATACAGTAACAGTCGCTTGTTATTTCTTTTTCATTTGTGAAGATATCCATACATTGTAAGTCATGTGCCAGAAGACTAAGCAACAAAGATCGCCTTTTATCCTCAAGACGAAGATGTATATCAATCCGAGGTAACCCCTGAAAATCAGCTTCATGCGGGGAACAATCACGACATGAACACCTGGCGGTAAGTATGCAAAGATAAAAATACCTTGAAAAAATGTTAAACTTCCTCACTTCTCCTTTCACGTATTCCAAGTGAGAAGTGTAATCAGGAAACACTCTCCTCCATGCGTCATAGAGCATCTCTAGCATGCCATGAGCATTGATAATGCCTTTCTTCAGGACGTGTAATCCAAAGTAATCTGCATATTTCCGAACATCTGCAGCTGCTCCGGGAGGAGGCACTGTTTCGAATCTCAGAAAATTGAGGACGTGAACAAACACATCTGCATCCACATCAATGAAGTAGCGTCCATCTTTGTCCTTGGCTACCGGGTGCCTTCCACTAAACATGGCGGCCAACATGGAGTCAGGGTACTTGGTGAGGGTGGATAGGCAGGTTGTCAAATGACGACCACCCACATTTAAGTCGATGACAGCAGGGAACTGAAATATAGAACAATACAATATATGTGCTAATCGTCATCTAAATGAACATCACTTCACGCATAAACATATCTGAAAACAGATTATAATTGAGACAACTGATACAGTACAGGGTGATGAAATATGAAATACTGACCAAAGGTGAATCATTTATTTAATGTATGAGAGTTTTTCATGGGGCATTTTACTCAAATCTTCTTTAACTTTTAATCATTACAATGTCACACTCTTCTTTAACAACGGTCACGCCATCAATTCCTTCTTAACTGTTTGGGGGAATGGTGGCCCAGTCGTCTAAAGCGCTCCGATTCGCTGTGCAGTGTTGCGTCCCTTGGGCACACCAGAAACCTATGATTGTGGGTTCGAATCCCGGTTCGCCCCAATTATGTTTCTAGGTTTATCAGCACCATACCTGTGCTCGTGGGTTTCACCGAAGTGGTAAACGTCTGAGACCTGCATCACTTCGGGCTTTCCTCCCACATTAAGCTGACACGCCGCGATATAACTGGAATACTGTTAAAAGCAGCGTTAAACCCACTCACTCACTCTTAACTGTATAACGTGAATCTATTCAAGACTGGCTGTACATACATGTATCTAATAATAACTGGCTTCATAGGTCATGTTTTCCCACCCTGGGCAGACGGCGACCTCTTAGACACATGGAAAGCAACAACAACAACAACAACAACAACAACAACAACAACAACAACACCCTGTCATTCAACTGATAACGGGGCATAAAGTAGCCATGAAACATTATGTATGTAGAGTATAAAAGTGGCTGTCTATAATAACATTCCTTGTCATATCTCTATACAAGTGCCAATGTGTCAAAGAGTCTCAATGTGTTAAACATTCAAGGGCGTCTTATCCTGAGTCTTTACGGTTTGAATAAAACACGCTTCCGTGGTTTTGGTTGAAACTGTAAGGCCGCGAGCGAGGGAAAAACGATTGCCTCCGGCTTTTACCTCGCTGGCGTTTTTAGATTTTCGCTGGCGTGTTTTATCCCACTTATGAGATCTGCATCACTTCGGGCTTTCCTCCCACATTAAGCTGACACGCCGCGATATAACTGGCATATGATCAATCACTCTTAACTGTATAACGTGAATCTATTCATGACTGGCTGTAAATACATGTATCTAATAAAAACTTCCTTCATTTGTATATAGGTCATGTTCTCCCACCCTGGGCAGAAGGCGACCCCTTAGACCCATGGAAAGCAACAACAACAACAACAACAACAACAACACCCTGTCATTCAACTGATGAAGGGGCAAGAAGTAGCCATGAAACATTAAGTATGTAGAGTATAAAATGTCTGTCCAAAATAACATTCCTTGTCATCTGACTCGGTGTCTTTACGTTTTGGATAAAACACGTCTCCAAGGGAAATGTAAAATCGTGAGCGAGGGAAAAGCGAGGGTACCTCGCTGGCGGTTTTAGATTTTCGCTGTCGTGTTTTATCCCACTTATGAGCCATCTAAATGCAAGAGATACCGAACAATTAAGAAAACATCGAAATGTCTTATAGTGAAATAATACAGCGTTTCGCGGGCCAAAGGAATTCGATCAAAGCATGCGAGAGAAAAAACACTTGCAACATGGGCCAGCTGGAAGACATGTAAACTTAAACAAGCTTTCATCATCTGCCCTTGTGTCTCAGTGGGAAAACAGTGGGTTTCAAAACTAAACACGATATGTGAGGTTCTAGGTTTGATTCAGTCATGGAATTTTCATGTAACAAAATGGCAATCCCTTTAAAATCAGATCTTAGCTCTCGCTATCGCTAAACAAACATCTTTGTTTAGTGGCAGCGAGAACTTTGATCTGATTTTAATGAGATTGCCAAAATTGTGACTTTTAACCAATCAAAACTGAATGTTGTGTTTATCTTAAGAGCCCAGTTAATAAAATGGCAATTGTAAAACTGGGTATTAAAATTGAAATGTAAAACCTCAACGTAGGTTTAGAAGTGACCCATTTCAAACCCAGGTTCGGAAGAGAACCAATTCAAAACCCGGCCTTGGAAGATGAGCTGTTACTAAGTTTACCTGAGGTTGTCAGGAACTTTATGCAATATAGGGTAACACAATGTAGGTTTAAAAATTTAAGTCAAACGTTCTCTGCAGCATTTTTATTTTGAAAAACGAGACTGATATATATGAATAGGACAAAGTGAAAGTTACTTACATTTCGTGTGACAGTACGATGAAGGTGATAATTATGAATATTTTGAAATGGAGGAGGGTTGCAAACAGATCCTGAGCAATTACTAAAAATAATTTAGTAATAATAATTTCTGTAAGGAAACCTTGCAATGATAAAATAACGCCATTCAGAGTATCATGCACATAGGTGTTACTTTCCATGTAGCAAACAACAATTTTTGAAGTATTGCTCTAAGAATACTCTTACAACAGACTTACACAGGTGCAGTATTATCAATTCCTTGTGTATTCCTGGGAAGAACATGAACCACATATAGTACAATCCATATTGCCATTTAAGTATGAAATATGTGACTCTAGTTATGGTATGACAGTTTTGTCTTCACTTGTGATTAATAAATTTTCGTTTTTATTACATACGTGTGTATGTGTGTTTCGATACTAGTTTGGACTGATGCCGGTGATATTGCTACCCCACTGGGATATGGTGCTTCAGTTTAACATGGATACCACACACAGACATATTATACTGGCTTCGAGTCGACCAGTCCTTGTTTAATCTCCTTAATGCCGAATGTCAGGCGGTGTTACAATAAATACCATCTTTCAACGCATTTCGTATGACGATCGATCTACCGACCTTCCGTTACCTGGGCACACTCTCCATCCATTCCAGCGGTCGTTATGTAAGAGGGGAACGCTAGATATTCAAGACGACTTCTAAGAAAAGAAGCACACCCGCTTTCGGTTTCATTTCTGGGAAATGTGGAGGTCAGTTAGGCTGTGCTCTCTGCCCTGATATTGCGAACTATGTAAGTGTATTGACAAAGCCGAACTACTCTAATTTATTACAAACTTACCTGTTTGAGATACCTGATTAATATCCTGTTCATTACAAACATTAACCTGAACATCACACAATGTAATAGGGCATACCCCTCGCGCTACAGGTGGATGGGAGCGGTTATTGGGCGACCACTGTGCCTTCATTCTGCAACAACGGCAATGCTTGAGCCTCCCTTCTGCCTCCTTTGAGCCATCATTGAGCAACAAACCGCCTCGGCGACCTTTGTGTGACTGTTTTGAACATGGCGTCCGTTGCGATGTCTGAACCTCCTGTGTACCACCTTGGAACGACCTAGGCAACCATTCTGCCTCCTTTGAGCCTCGAACGACGACCTGGCAAATTTTATGTTCGCACACGGGAGGCAGAAAGGTCGCCATCCTGGGTAAAGGCCCCATTACAGGGGGAAGTTTATTATTAATAAGCATTTTACAAAGTGTTGCGGCAACAAATTGTGGAAAATGATAATTAATCATAACATAGGACAGTTTATCTGGAGGCTGCATAGAGAGAAAAACTGGTTTAAGCTGGACAGTCTTGTGAAAAAGAACAGGGATTGCCTTAAAGTCGGGCCAAGAAAAGTCGGGCCGGGCCAGCGGGTAATACTAAAAATGGATTGCAGAATAATAAAACGAAACGTTTATTACAATATCAACACGTGCAATTAGAGCTGTGACATGTTTTACCCTAAAATTAGAGGTGAGGTAAATTGGGTTTAACGTCGTATACAAAATTATTGCACTTATGTAACGACGTGCATGCATTGGTGTGTGTGTGTGTGGCTGCTTGTACAAGTCAGTCAGTCAGTCAGTCAGTCAGTCAGTCAGAAAAAAGAAGCAAAGGTTCTGTGCAACCCCGGATGGGGCTTTCAGGGTTGCTTAAATTGTAATTTTGAGATTTGGATACTTGGAATAGGTGCCAAGGTGGGGTGGGACTAAGGGTGTGGGGAGTATGGTTGTTTGTTTATGTTAGTTTGGGTGTTGGATGGTTTTAGATGCAGTTTATTAGACCTGTTTTTTACTAGTCAGGACTGATGCCGATTTATAGTGCGAGCTCACTGAGATACGATGTCGCAGTTTAACATGAAAACTCCACTCAGACGCAGTATACTGACTCCGAGCCGACCAGTCCTTGTTTTTAGTCCCTGAATGCCGAGCGCCAGACATCGTAACAACAAATACCATTTTATAACATCTTTTGGTATGACGAGGCCGAGATCGAACCCCGGACCATCCGCTCTCCGGGCGGAGGCTCTACCACTAGACCACGGAGGCAGTCCCAAGAATTAGAACAGTTGTTGACTATAAAAGTTTACGTTTGGGAGACAGGTACAGGTGAAATGGGGTGAAATGGGGTTTAACGTAGCAATTGTTTCGGTTGTCACCCAAATCAACTACAAGCAATAATCTCTACACTTAGTTAAAACAACAAAGCCAAATAACCAACAGATGTAGTGGAATGTTCATGAGTGAGGAATAGATGGAGAGAAGCAAGCTGAGAGAGATGAAGCTGATTTACACAACTAAAGAAGAGGTCAACAGCACAACAACAAAAATGGAATCCAGTGGACACTATGGGACCAGCTTGAAGACTTGGACTTCACTGACGACCTAGTCCTGCTTTCCCAAGCCACCAACAGATGCGGGACAAGACAACAGAGCTGGAAACCACCTCTCCACAGGTTGGTCTCAAGATCCATGAGGGCAAGACCAAGATCCTCAAGATCAACACGAAAAGCGAGGACCCAGTCACACTGCATGGAAGCGAACTGGAAGAAATGGAGGCCTTTACATATCTCGGCAGCATCATTGACAAGCAGGGAGGCACAGACGCAGACGTCAGAGCAAGATTCGGCAGGGCAAGGACAGCATACTTGCAGCTGAAGAACATATGGAGCTCCAAGGTGGTATTGACTCGCACGAAGATCAGGCTGTTCAACTCCAACGCCAAGTCAGTGCTACTGTATGGAGGAGTAGAGACATGGAGGACAACAAAGACAACCAGTAGGAAAGTGCAGACTTTCATCAACAGCTGCCTGAGAAGAATCCTCCAGGTCCACTGGCCCAACACCATCAGCAACTAAGACCTGTGGCAGCGCACCAACCAACTGCCAACCGAAGATGAGATCCGGATGTAATGTAATGTTACTTTGCTATTAGATTGCCTCTTACTGCATTTGGTGCAATAGTCGTCCCTATACTATTATATGATGTCGAAATCTGGGGATACGAGAATCTTACTATCATAGAAAGGGTTCATCTAATATTTCTGAAATCAGCTACTGGACTGAAAAACACAACTCCAGACTTTATGTTATATGGCGAATTGGGTAGGGAACCACTCAGTTTCAAAGTTTATAAACGTGTTATCTCCTTTTGGCATATACCCGTGAAGATCCGGGGTAGAATAGGTCTTCGGCAACCCATGCTACCTACCTACCTACCTACCTACCTAAACACCCAACCACCCACCCACCCAACCGCCAAACCACCCAACCTACCTACCTACCTACCTACCTACCTACCTACCTACCTACCTACCTACCTACCTACCTACCTACCTACCTACCTACCTACCTACCTACCTACCTACCTACCTACCTACCTACCATTCCTTCCTTCAGAACTGGAACTCCACTAACGAATCAAGCTCCAAAAGGTCGTATTACAAGTACCTGGAGAATCAACCTTCATTTGAGAAATATCTATTCCTCTCAAAATCAATATTTCTCCTTATATTAAAATTCAAAACTTCTAACCATAGATCTAGATTACCCGTTGAAACTGGTCGATGGCTGAACTTTTCCAGGGAAGACCGCCAGTGTCCACTCTGTGATTCTGTCGCTGTGGGAGATGAGTTTCACTATTTATTTCGATGTGAAGCTTTTTACCAACAGCGATATGAACTCTTAAATAAGCTATATCTTAAGTTTCTAAACCTGTCCCAGTTAAAGAAACTTATGACCACTAACAGTGTATGAGATCTAAAAAGCCTATCTAAATCCCTTAACAATGTGTACAATACAATTGATAAATTGTAAGAGTGTCCACGTATCCTATTTTTATTATTCTTGTTAAATGCTGTCATTTTGTACCTTGATAAAAATTGTACATAATTTTATCTCATGTACCACCGTGGGTGGTTTTTCAGGGAATAAAAGTGTTTGTATTTGAGAAGGAAGCTCTCACCAGAAGTTGGTTTGTTCGAACAATTAAATTCGTACAGTAACAACAACAACAAAAACAACAACAACAACAACAACTACCCCAATATGCATTGAAACGACATGAAGCTACACTGGTCTATCTTGACGTGAACACCTGGTGTCATCACCTAGTGATTCATAAACACATGCTCATGATATAGTCGGAATCGTACAATGAACTCTGTTTTGGCAGAGATTACTGTTGGATATGGATATAGTTTTGTCGCTTTATTTATGAAGCGACGTATTTCCCAAGTGTTAGCCCCGACACGATAACATTTAGAAATGTAAATAATCGCAAATACTCCCTATTTTAAAAACGTTTTGGATAAAACGTCTGTAGAACATTTGTTATTTAAAAATTGACCTTCAAGCTCTGACGTTCATACAGTTTGGCCCTCACTCTATGAAGGTTCATACTCCAATGAACTCACACAAAGTGAAAGTCAATTCTTATAAAAATTTTGATCACAATTTCTTACCTCAAAGGATGAAGGCAAAGATCTATACACAATTGTATTTAGTATTTGTGACTTCATGTTTACACTGACAGCTATACAACAACCAGCTATATCTCGGAGTAAAATAGCTCCTCAAAAAAAAAAGGTGACATGGGCGTATGGATGCACAACTTGCTCTTCAGAAACAGCTCACGCAACACATGTGTTCAAATCATAGCCTCATTAGATGAGAAAGGTCTGTAAAGAACTACCTCAGTAAGTCAGTCTCAATGACAGGGCATCGTAATACATTTACATCAAGTACAAGACGTCAAAATGGCCGACACGATAAACGTGACGGGAGAGATTTCCGAAGTTGTTAATGAACCTGTGGCGGTTACATGTGTTAGTCATCATTAATCAACTGGCCGATCATTAAAAGGTGAATAAAGATGCGTCAACCAGACACAAAGGTGAATTCATAGATTGCTGGAGACGGTCAATGTCAGCCTAGGCACGAATCGAGTCGATACTACGATAGTTTAGATGTGCATTTCTTCGTTTGTTCATTAGGATGGGCCGTAGCGAGGATATTCGTGAACAATTGTGCAGTCACGCTCTCTGACATTTCTAACTGTATACTGAAATGCTGAGACCAAGAATAAAGGTTCTAAATGATCAGAAAGAACGCTTATGCATGTTTTCGTGCTAGGGAATTCCCAGGGGTTTCCCCAGGAATGTGGAAGTAGTCCGTCAGTGTTTACGTCATTTCAAGAACACGGTCTCGTGAAAAACGTATGAACGTCAAATTGGTGTCGTTCATACACTTATGAACGTCAATTTCGCGGTCATGTGACCGACCTCTCGTCTAATGGAAAAGCCGTATATCGTGTAAACGTCAAATTAAAAAAGTATTAAGAATTGACCTTCACTTTGCGTGAGTTCATTGGAGTATGAATCTTCATAGAGTGAGGGCCAAGCTGTATGAACATCGGAGCTTTTTATCACAATTTCTTACGTCAAAGGATGCTGGCAAAGATCTATACACAATTTTATTTAGTACGTTTGACTTCATGTTTACACTGACAGCCAAACAACAACCAGCTATATCGCGGAATAAAATCGTTCCCCAAAAACGAGAGGTGACATGAGCGAATGGATGCACAACTTGCTCATCAGAAACATTTTACGCAACACATGTGTTCATATAATATCTCATTAGATGAGAAAAGTCTGTAATGAACTACCTCAGTAAGTCAGGCACAATGACAGCGCGTCGTAATTAATGTACATCAAGTACATGACGTCAAAATGGCCGACACAATAAACGTGACGGGAGAGATTTCCGAAGTTGTTAATGAACCTGTGGCGGTTACATGTGTTAGTCATCATTGATCAACTGGCCGATTATTAAAAGGTGAATAAAGATGCGTCAAACAGACACCAAGGTTAATTCGCAGATTGCTGGAGACGGTCACTGTCAGCCTAGACACAGATCGAATCGATACTGACGATAGTTTGGATGTGCATTTTTTCGTTTGTTCATTAGGATGGGCCGTAGCGAGGAAATTCGTGAACAATCATGTAGTCAAGCTCTCTTACGTTTCTAAAAGTATACTGAAATGCTGAGACCAAGATTAAAGGTTCTAAATGATCAGAAATAATGCTTATGTATGTTTTCGTGCTAGGGAATTCCCAGGGGTTTTCCCAGGAATGTGGAAGTAGTCCGTCAGTGTTTACGTCATTTCAAGAACACGGTCTCGTGAAAAACGTATGAACGTCAAATTGTGTCGTTCATACACTTATGAACGTCAATTTCGCGGTCATGTGACCGACCTCTCGTCGTATATCGTGTAAACGTCAAATCAAAAAAATATACTGTTTTGAATGGCATAACATCTTAAGAACATACAAGACGTGTTATTATTGGACCTATTTCGTTGAAATATATGACTGTTTCCATTGCATAAATATCAATCGATGACTATCCGTGCCTGTCGTTCATGTTCTTTCTTTTACATTGGATTACCATCAGCCCTCTACTGATGGCTCATTTCTTGTCAATCTTGTGTATGTATGTATGTCCAATTTTCCCCAATCCCAATGACCATATATGTCAATAAAATATGTTTAAAAACTCTCATCCAATCAAGGCTGTCTTAGTTTTTTTACACTTACAAGGTAGTTTAACCTAACTCACTCACTCATCCAATCAAGGCTATTCTTATAACTGAAATACACTAATAATGGTGTAACCTAAATCACTCATCTAATCTAAACTCTTCTTCAGGTTACAAGGGTGTTAAACTAACCTAACTCACTCACTCATCCAATCGAGGCTCTTCGTAACTGAAATACATTAACAAGGTGTTTAACTTCACTCGCTCACTCATCCAATCAAGGCTCTCCTTTAGAGAAATAGTCACAAGAGTTTTAAACTAAACTTACTCACTCATCCATTCAAGGCTCTTCTTTAGAGAAATAGTCACAAGGGTGTTAAACTAAACTTACTCACTCATCCATTCAAGGCTCTTCCTTAGAGAAATAGTCACAAGGGTGTTAAACTAAACTTACTCACTCATCCCATCAAGGCTCTTCCTTAGAGAAATAGTCACAAGGGTGTTAAACTAAACTTACTCACTCATCCATTCAAGGCTCTCCTTTAGAGAAATAGTCACAAGGGTGTTAAACTAAACTTACTCACTCATCCCATCAAGGCTCTTCCTTAGAGAAATAGTCACAAGGGTGTTAAACTAAACTTACTCACTCATCCCATCAAGGCTCTTCCTTAGAGAAATAGTCACAAGGGTGTTAAACTAAACTTACTCACTCATCCCATCAAGGCTCTTCCTTAGAGAAATAGTCACAAGGGTGTTAAACTAAACTTACTCACTCATCCCATCAAGGCTCTTCCTTAGAGAAATAGTCACAAGGGTGTTAAACTAAACTTACTCACTCATCCCATCAAGGCTCTTCCTTAGAGAAATAGTCACAAGGGTGTTAAACTAAACTTACTCACTCATCCCATCAAGGCTCTTCCTTAGAGAAATAGTCACAAGGGTGTTAAACTAAACTTACTCACTCATCCCATCAAGGCTCTTCTTTAGAGAAATAGTCACAAGGGTGTTAAACTAAACTTACTCACTCATCCCATCAAGGCTCTCCTTTAGAGAAATAGTCACAAGGGTGTTAAACTAAACTTACTCACTCATCCCATCAAGGCTCTTCCTTAGAGAAATAGTCACAAGGGTGTTAAACTAAACTTACTCACTCATCCCATCAAGGCTCTTCCTTAGAGAAATAGTCACAAGGGTGTTAAACTAAACTTACTCACTCATCCCATCAAGGCTCTTCCTTAGAGAAATAGTCACAAGGGTGTTAAACTAAACTTACTCACTCATCCCATCAAGGCTCTCCTTTAGAGAAATAGTCACAAGGGTGTTAAACTAAACTTACTCACTCATCCCATCAAGGCTCTTCCTTAGAGAAATAGTCGCAAGGGTGTTAAACTAAACTTACTCACTCATCCCATCAAGGCTCTTCCTTAGAGAAATAGTCACAAGGGTGTTAAACTAAACTTACTCACTCATCCCATCAAGGCTCTTCCTTAGAGAAATAGTCACAAGGGTGTTAAACTAAACTTACTCACTCATCCCATCAAGGCTCTTCTTTAGAGAAATAGTCACAAGGGTGTTAAACTAAACTTACTCACTCATCCCATCAAGGCTCTCCTTTAGAGAAATAGTCACAAGGGTGTTAAACTAAACTTACTCACTCATCCCATCAAGGCTCTTCCTTAGAGAAATAGTCACAAGGGTGTTAAACTAAACTTACTCACTCATCCCATCAAGGCTCTTCCTTAGAGAAATAGTCACAAGGGTGTTAAACTAAACTTACTCACTCATCCCATCAAGGCTCTTCTTTAGAGAAATACAGTTTGGATGGTGTTAAATTCAACTCACTCACTCGTAATATCACTGACACAGCGCCAAATCTACACAGACAATATGTTTCATCGTAATTGACAAAATAAGTAAGTTTCAAATGCTGATAGAATGTTTTAAGTCCAAAAAGTCTAAGCCAGGGAATAATCATTCTCGAATGTCTATCGAAACATACCCACGAACCGTGAAGATTCCGGGGTAGAATAGGTCTTCAGCAACCCATGCTTGCCGTAAAAGGTGACTATGCTTGTCGTAAAAGGCGACTAACGGGATCGGGTGGTCAGGCTCGCTGACTTGGTTGATACATGTCATCGATCCCAATTTGCGTGGATCGATGCTCATGATATTAATCACTGGATTGTCTGGTCCAGACTTGATTATTTACAGACCGCCGTGATATAGCTGGAACATTGCTGAGTGCGGCGTTAAACAACAAACCAACCAACCAACAAAACATATTTCCTTGATCGAAAAAGGCAAAATAATGATGAAAAATATATCAGTGGACGGCTGAAAAGGAGTGATTTCACCAGGTGTTCACGAAAAGGGTAAGCATGCCCTGCCCTGAGGCACCAGTCACTCTTTAACACTTTTCATTAAAACAGTGTTTGTTGCCCAAATCCACATCCAACAATATTCCAGATACAAGACGTCGGCCAATAAACATTTGGGTCTGGACTAGACAATCCAGTGTTTGATATCATGAGCAGCGACCCATGTCATAGAGGTACGATGAAACGCAAAATCAACCAAATCTCCGAGCCCGACCATCAGGCACCATTACAGTAAGGTAGTACGTAACAGGTAGCAGGTGCCGGTTTGGATTGGTCTTCACTCTTGAAACGGTTTTGTGTTCGAGAACACTTAATTTCTTGTGGTAGAGTCTTCCATTTCACGGCCTGTTTCCTGTTTCTCCGGTACCTTCTTGGAAGATAATGCTACCTTTGTCTCGACTTCGTGTGGTTTTCTTTGCAGTGCGAACAATCGCGAGTACAGAACTAGACTAATTAGAATCCACGACTGTAGTCAGGTTACAATGGTGTGCCAGGTAAATAAATCAGGTGGCCACCTTTCCGTGCTGACCTTGGGTAGGAGACCACTGATGTTTCTACGGTCACTAGCAACACCTTATATTTTTCGTCAAGAGTGTTTGTTTGTTGTTTTACGCCGCACAATATTCCAGCTTTATCACGGACTGTAATTAATCGAGTCTGGACCAGGCTTTGCTTTGTTGTTTAACGCGGCACTCCAGCTATATGATGGTGGTTCTGGACCAGGCAGCCCAGTGTTTGATATTATGAGTAACATACATATTCCTATAGGTTTCCAGTGACAGTCAACAAAGTCATCGGGCTGACCAAGCGATCACGTTTAGTCAAGCTTATGACAAGTAGTGTTTTGGACTAGTTCTATGTCCAAGGGTGCAAAAGGTCAAAGGGCACTAAGGTTTAGTCACATCTCTTTCTCAACCAACCTTTAATTGTCATCAAACTAAACTCACTCATTCACTCATAACTTTGGATGAGGAAAATAAAGAAACTGTCTATCAATTGGAATAAGAATGACACTGGACTGGTTCATTTCAGAAAGTTATGGGGGCACGGGTGGCCTAGTCGTCTAAGACGCCGCGATTCGCTGTGCAGAGTTGCGTCCCTTCGGCACGCCAGACACCTATGATTGTGGGTTCGAATCCCGGTTCGCCCCGATTATGTTTCTAGGTTTGTCAGCACCATACCCGTGTTCGTGGGTTTCACCGAAGTGGTTAACGTCTAAGACCTGCATCTCTTGGGGCTTTCCTCCCACATTATGCTGACACGCCGTGATTTTAACTGGTTGTTTCCAAAGAACTGTGGACTGATTGCATTCGTTTTGTAATTGTGCTTAAACCCCGGCCGTATTGCGGCTGATAAGAAAATGCTCGCTCATTATCTTGTAACAAATCAAGGGATTTAAGCAAACTGTAGCAGTTTAACAGATATTAATCTTGTATAAATAATACAAGCGCAAACGAAACTACAGAATGATGAACATATGTTACGAAAGCTACCAGCTCAGTATTGTCCTTGCCAATTAGCAGCCAGTGTCGCCATCAGTAATTCAATATGATTAGCCTATTCTGTCGCGTCGTCATGGAATCACAGCATCGCCACATGTAGTTGACAATAAGTAACATAATATTCTGGACATCAGCGTCGGATACCATATCACAGATTAAAAGACACAGCAGTTCCATAGAGTCATTCGGGTGGCATAGGCGAAGGCTCCGTACAAATACTTGTCAGGCTGCAGGGGACACTGTGTGACATCCACAGCCAGTATGGATTTATTTATTCCAATGTGTATCCTCTGTATTCTGACGGGACATAGGATTCAAGGTAAAATTATTAGATTACTCCTTTGAATGTTCATTTTAAAAATGACATGAAATATTCGTATTCGACGTAATAAGCGCCCAGGCGCTCTCAAAATTAGAAATAGGGGGCTCTTATTAGAATATAATTTTGGTGAGATAAAAACAGAGTTGAAAGATTTAAATTTTGTGGTTCATGCTGACAGTCTGAAATGATATAAAAGAAGAAGCTGTGCGTATTAAACACGATAGATATATTTTCGAGAATTTAATTGCCATAATTAAGGGCGCATATAACATACGAGTGCGTATTATACACGAATACATAAGTCTTGTGTACATTGATCAATCGGAAGGGGTGTTAACTGGGATTGTTTACTAGCCAATATATTAGCAAATATCGCCGTGGACGCTTATTAGTGCGGGGCGCTTATTACGTCGAATACGGTATTGTCTGTAAATCACACTGCCCCATGTGCCAACAATGACATGATAAATGTGACGTTAAAGGGCAAGTTCACACGAAAATAAACCTATTTTTCTTGTACTTTTTCATCATGAAAAGTATTTACCTAGTAGTTTCGGAGGCAAAACAATTAAAATATCACACGTATCAAATTTATTTTATTCATAAAATCGGTTCATATTTTTCACATTTACAGAGTGTTCTATTTCCATAATAAACACACCATGGCTTATGCCCCTTGCAATATGACGTCATTGGTGCCAAGTGATAAAGGAATGACGTCATAAGACTTTATTAGACGCGTTTCACGTGGTGTATGTAGGTGTGTGGTTCTATCTTCTCAGATGCGCAGCCTAGCTATTGTTTGTTCGGTGCCGAGCTGTCCAAGATACAACGCTAAGCACAATTACTCTAAAATTATTTCGTTTTCCAAAATCGCGACTGTGAAGACAACAATGCACTGATAACATATATTTGTTTCTTGATATTGGCAAGTGGCATTGATCTGTAGCCTATAGGTGGTGGGAATAGTTACACCCAATACAGACAAACTCAGATTGACGACAATGCCGATACCGGCGATAGGGTCGTAACAGGGTGGGACAGGATGAATAGGCCTGCTGACGAAGCATGCGGGTCACCAGGCGTGACAAAAATCTCTTAGAATATTACATTTCCGCTTCTAAAAACGTAATAATGAGCATATAGGTAATTTAGGTATACACACATCAAAGTGTTATTCTTACCACGTTGTCACTGGTAGGCCTAATTGTGTAGATGTCGAGTCGGGGTCGGGTGACAAATTAGGTGATGTGGGTCTTCTCTTGTTTCCACTTGATTTTCATCGTTTCCATACCGCGAAGCTTGCTCGTTTTGGTTCAAAATCGTATGGTTTTGCGATTTCTTGAAGGGTCAAGGGAACTTCTTCGGACCAGGCAAGGTATCGGATGCCATGTTGTCTCACCATAAACTGGTTCTTGATTCTTTTTGCGTTGTGACGAGACAGGGACCCAGTTAAATTGGCACCAATTACGTCATAATCTAAGGAGGATAACTCAGGCCTGTTTAGCTCGGAAAACGAAGGCCTCATAACGGCATGACATTTTCACACTTATTGTGAGCTCGCTACATTGACTGTGAGAAAAATGAGTGTATATTTTCAAACACTGATACTAACTAATTCTAAAATTCCGTTTTGTTTAAAATAAGAAAGAAAGTGATTTTTGCGTGTACACTTCCCCTTTAATGAAATGATTATATACGGTTTTAGGAAAATTATTTCTTGTATTTGTAATCCTTATTTCTAAAGTTTCTAAATTTCTAAAGTAGGTTTTGCATGTGGTTTGTTGGACGTCAAGGTGATTTCAGTGACTAACCGTTTGATATGCTTGGGGTCGAGTGCAGGGATATATCTTTAAAAAATATCGATAGAATATATACTCCGAAAGGAGAAACCAATTATGTTCTTTACCTACTCGCAACACATATATGATTCGAACATCCAGCATTTCAAGTCATTGGTGTTTGTTTTGTTTTTGTTTATGATTGTTTATGATTGAGGCAATGGACAACTTAGGACAATATATTAGCTCACCGGGTACGAAAGACCAAGGTGAGCTTATGCCATACCATGGCGTCCGTCGTCCGTCCGTCGTCCGTCCGTCGTCCGTACGTCAACAATTTATTCAAACGACTTCTTCTGAACCCCTAATTGGAAATTGACGAAAGGGGACTGGAAGCGTCCCTAGGTGGTGGGGATTCAAAATTGTATAAATGGAGGGGCTGACCCCCCAAGGGGCTGAGGTGCGGGGTCGAATAGGGGTAATTTGGCTATATTGCTTCAATCGACTTCTTCTCTGGAACTAACGTCCCCCGCCGTGATATCGCTGGAATATTGCTAAAAGCGGCGTAAAACATACTCACTCACTCACTCACTCTGGAACTAACAGATAGATATCAACCATATTTGGTTTGAAGCATTCCTAGGTGGTTGGGATTTAAAATTGTACAAATAGTGGGGCTGACCCTCCAAGGGGCTGAGGGGCGGGGCGAAATAGGGGTAATTTGGCTATATTGCTTAAAACGACTTCTTCTCTGGAACTAAATGATAGATATCAACCATATTTGGTTTGAAGCATTCTCCGGTGGTGAGGATTCAAAATTGTACAAATGGAGGGACTGAGGGGCGGGGCCAAGTGGGGGTAATTTGGCGTTATTGCTTTAAACGACTTTCTCTCTGGAGATGGTTATCAACCATATTTGGTTGGAAGCATTCTCCAATGGTAGCGATTCAAATTGGAGAAATGGAGGTACTGAACCATACCCCTACCCCTACCCCCACCCCCACCCCCGGGGACCGAGGGACGGTGTTCAAAAGGTGATATGGCTTTAAATGCCTTTTTCTCTGGATCTAAGAGATGGACATCAACCATATTTGGTTGGAAGTATTCTCAGGTGGTGGGAATTCACAATTGTACTATGGAGGGGCTGATTTCCCCCCGGGGGCTGAGGGGTGGGGCCAAAAAGAGTTTATAATTTGGACACAGTTAAGATCCCCACCGTATAACCATATATACAATTGAGAGTATAATGAGAGGAATGCACATATGCTACCAGGACTGGCCCTTCTGTATATTCGGCATTCGGCACTCCCAAAGGAGGTAGAACCTTGACCATAACCTGCAAACCAATATTATCCCCACCCTATAATAAACAGATACACTGTATCCATCTGTTTGTTATGAAGGGAGTAATACCTTTAATATGATTTATTCTGGATCATAACATGGAAACGGTTCAGATCTTTATGCTACAGAAGTATCTAGAGAAATACATGTTCATGCTGTCAGATTTGCCATCCATCCATTTTAAATGCTGACAGAGTCAAAATTACGAAATATTTGCAGTATTATACATGAACAATGCAAATGTAGATTTTGTCACGAATGCGCAAATATCCAGGTGATCGATACAGGCCCTATGGGCCTCTTGTTATTTTTCTGTATTTTCGAGACCAGATTAAATCCAAAACAAATCTCTGTGTATATATAAGTAGCTAAGAAAATTCTCAGACTCTCAGAGACAAAAGCAACTGTAATCATGTTATTCGTGATATTTATTTTACAATATTTTCAATTTTAAAGGACAGTCGTTTCCCGTAAATAAACAAATTGAAAACATCAAATTCATATTCTGCCAAGGTTGTTGTCAGTTCTTCACATTTGGCGACTTGACCGTCTTTTTAGCTCACCTGGCTTGAAAGGCCATGTGAGCTTCTGTCGCCTTCGTTCATATTTTCTTTGACGGTTTTTTTACGTTTAGGGCTTCTCAGAAATGACTTGATTGATTCAGCTATAATTATGTGTGAATATTGGTTACTATAAGAGGTTTAAAGTTTGGTCAAGGCATAAAAATTGGAATTTCAAAATGGCTGACAGGTAGCCATCTCTGATTTAAAACAAATAAACTTCAAAATATCTGCGAAATGATAAAGGGACAGACATGATTACCTTGTGTATTACCAAGTTTTATCAAGACATCTTGAACGGAAAGCAAATATGACTGCCATTGGTCACATTGGAAGATACAATAATCACAAACCATCCGTCGTACATGTTTGTTTGTTTGTTTGTTGTTTAAGGCCGCACTCGGCAATATTCCAGCTATATGACGGCGGTCTGTAAATAATGGAATCTGGACCAGACATTCCAGTGATAGACATCATGAGCATCGATCCACGCAACTGGGATACGATGACATGCATCAACCAAGTCAGCGAGCCTGACCACCCGTTAGTCGCATCTTACGACAAGCATGGGAGCCAGCTTAAGAGTATGATGTATATGGATATCTGTCAACAGTGCATACGCGAGAGGATCCAGTTGTGGCATGAATAAAGTATACCCGACTCCACAGGGTGCGGCATAAGTTAGAGGTGCCATCAATGTAAATAGTGTCAGTTGAGCTTGAAGTAACAAATGTTCCTCAGTTGAGAAGGTCAGATTCTTGTCATCGCCGTCGGTGAACAGGAGGTACATCCGCTATCTGATGTCAGTCAAATACTAATATCCATACCAGTACCAACAAATGCCACTATTAGAATCATATCTACCTTGTATCCCTTATAAACTAAGTGAGTGAGTTGGGTGTAACGCCGATTTTAACAGTATTACAGTTATATCGCGGCGTGTCAGCTTAATGTGGGAGGAAAGCCCCAAGTGATGCAGGTCTCAGACATTTACCACTTCGGTGAAACCCACGAGCACGGGTATGGTGCTGACAAACCTAGAAACATAATCGGGGCGAACCGGGATTCGAACCCACAATCATAGGTTTCTGGAGTGCCCAAGGGACGCAACTCTGCACAGCGAAAAGCGGCGCCTTAGACGAATGGACCAGCCGTTCCCCCGCGGCGCTTTAGACGACTGGGCCACCCGTGCCCCCTTATAAACTAAGAGCATGTTTCGCACGTTCTCGACTGTCTGACCATAGACTACCCGTAGAGGGGCGGTCGGGTAGCCTAGTGGTTAAAGCGTTCGCTCGTCACGCCGAAGACCCGGGTTCGATTCCCGACATGGGTACAATGTGTGAAGCCCATTTCTGGTGTCCCCCGCCGTGATATTGCTGGAATATTGCTAAAAGCGGCGTAAAACCAAACTCACTCACTCACTACCCGTAGAAGCCGGATGGTGGCATAAAACTGACCATGCTAAAAGAACATTATGTAATTTAGTTTTGCGACACGAAGATCTTTTTGTTGGCCATATGTTGTATATATTTTGGAAATCCGTGTAACATGCCAGCTAAAAACACTTTATGTGAGATAATCAATTCATCAATGTATTGATTTATATTTTTATGTGAGAATGCTTCCTTACGAGTCGTAGACATGTATGAAACTTGTCCTTACATATCTACCTTCTGACTATGTACTTACATTCGATGACAGGCCATAATACCGCTACCGATGGCGGAGTCCGGTTTGAGAAAGAACAGACCGATGTCGGATATGCACTTCAAGAGGGTCAGACCGCTGAGGACGATTGGCTTCAGAAAGCACAGACCAGTACTGAACATGTGCTCCGACATACCCGAACCAACAGCACAGGGGTATTGTCTGAGAATGAAACAGAAGCTGCTTCAAACGGAACAGAGCACAGTGCGACGCCGCTGCCAACAAAGCCTGCCCCTTCTGCTAAGAATCTCCAGAGTAAGATCTCTACACGTTTCTAAACAAATCAGACACACTAACACAATCAATTTGTCCAAAAACTTTTTTACTTTGCAAAAGCGCCTAGAGAATCAGTAATAAAGAATATAAAAAAATGTTCTAAACCAATCTCATTTAAATCAGATCTTAGTTCTCGCTATCGCTAAGCAAAGATCTGAGGACATCCCATTACGGGTCGCGTCAGAACGACCTTTCATCCAACCAATCACAGCGTCGCTTACCAGATCATGAAAGTGACAGTCGGAATGTGTTTTCTAATCATGCAACAACGATATAATTAACACGGGGTATTCCGGACGACAGTTACGGGTTTTATGATTATATCCATACAATCTAGCACATCTATAAGCCATTCCAGAATGTTCTTCTCATCAGTTTTATAAACTTTAATCGAGAATACGTCAAAATATGTTTCGAAGCGTAGTCGCCAGTTTGAAACTTGTGTCATAAAGCTCGAGAAAGCTGCCTTCTGATTGGCCAATGTCGGTTTCTTGTCAGTCATTTCATTGGTCGATCAAAATTCGCGAAAGGTCGTTCTGACGTGACCGGTAATGGGATGTCCTCAGATCTTTGTTTAGCGGTAGCGAAAACTAAGATCTGATTTTAATGAGATTGGTTCTAAATCTTCATTTGGGACAAGCGCACGGCACAAAAAAAACTCCCCAGTATATGATAAGACAAGGAATAAATGAGAAGAAGCAGATAGAAATTGATTATTTCAAGTTCTAACAGCATCAGTTAGCGAAGCCCTACATGTAGAACAAGACACTAATATATGTAAGAAATCTGTAGTATGTTTCGTTTTGAATTGTATTTGGTTGTCGGTTTATTTAAAGTCTTTTAGACATTTACGAATTTAGAAGACAGATTCTTCACTGTCGTTGGTGTTGAGGGACTACGTATATCCCTTCGTCGGGCGAACTAAATAAGTAAGTATGGTTTTACGCCGCTTTTAGCAATATTCCGGCAATATCACGGCGGGGGACACCAAAAATGGGCTTCACACATTGTACCCATGTCGGGAATCGAACCCGGGTCTTCGGCGTGACGATCGAATGCTTTAACCACTAGGCTACTCGAACTACTGAACAAGTGCATGTGATTGATAATCAGAAAGACCAGCATCGACTACCCCATGCTTGCTCAGTTTGAGTGAGTGAGTGAGTTGGGTTTAACGCCGCTTTTAACAGTATTCCAGTTATATCGCGGCGTGTCAGCTTAATGTGGGAGGAAAGCCCAAAGTGATGCATGTCTCAGACGTTTACCACTTTTGTGAAACCCACGAGCACGGGTATGGTGCTGACAAACCTAGAAACATAATTGGGGCGTACCGTGATTCGAACCCACAATCATAGGTTTCTGGCGTGCCCAAGGGACGCAACTCTGCACAGCGAATAGCGGCGCCTTAGACGACTGGGCCACCCGTGTCCCCTTGCTCAGTTTGAATGAATGATGTTGTTAGTCGCAAGGTTGCATATGTACAAGACCCGTGAAGATCCGGGGTATAATAGGTCTTCAGCAACCCATGCTTTCCGTAGAAGGCGACTATGCTTGTCGTAAGAGGCGACTAATGGGACCGGGTGGTCAGGCTTGCTGACTTGGTTGACACGTCATCGTATCCCAATTGCGTGGATGGATGCTCATGACATCAATAACTGGATTGTCTGGTCCAGACTCGATTATTTACAGACCGCCTTCATATATCTGGACTATTGCTGAGTGCGGCGTTAAAAAACAAACAAACAAACAAAGCATATGTACACCTGGAACAAAGCACCTGCAGCTTGGTAGTTTCATATGGATAGCGGTGTATAACATTTTCCCTGGAAGAAATCGTCTACAACATATACTCTTTGTATTGCAGATTTCATGCTCTCGGTTTTCGCCCTTTTCACCATTATCGTGTTGGCATGTCTCGCTACCATGACGGCCTGTGTAATGTAAGTAGCTTGAATTCTACCCGAACCCTCCTTTGTAACCTGCACGGAACAAAATCTTACAGTATCAGTCATCAAAATAACAATCCTCTTCTTGTAATGTTTGTTCGTTTGTTTGTTGTTTAACGCCGCACTCAGCAATATTCCAGCTATATGACGGCGGTCTGTAAATGATCGAGTCTGGACCAGACAATCCAGTGATAGACATCACCGAAGTCCCGGGTTCGATTCTCGACATGGGTACAATGTGTGAAGCCCATTTCTGATGTCCCCCGCCGTGATATTGCTGGAATATTGCTAAAAGCAGCGTCAAACTACACTCACTCACTCGTCGATCATTATAACATGAGTGGGGTGGTTGAGGAAGGAGAGTATAATCACTGCCAAAAACGTGACAGCTTTTGTTATCCATATTTAATATAATTATTCAATATACTAAATTCACTATAACTAAAATATCCCCGTTAGGATTCGCAATCAGAATTGGTCCCGGTGACTTGGTTCTACCTCATTTGTCTTTTCTGTTGGTTTTTTTTGTTGTTTTTTGTGGGTTTTTTTTGGGGGGGGGGTTGTTTGTTTGTTGTTTAACGCCGCACTCAACAATATTCCAGCTGTATGGCGGAGGTCTGTAAATAATCGAGTAATCTGTAAGCAATCCAGTGATTGACATCATGAACATCGATCTACGCAGTTGGGGTACGATGACATGCATCAACCAAGTCAGCGAGCCTGACCACCCGATCCAGTTAGTCGCCTCTTACAACAAGCATTGTCGCCTTTTACGGCAAGCATGAGTTGCTGAAGACCTATTGTACCCCGAATCTTCACGGGTCTCATCTAGTTGAAAACAAGCATTATTTGATATATATTTTCACTTATGAGTTGTTATCTTAATTATTTAACCAATTGATTATCTGGTGAATGGATTGAATTATTTATAGAAATTTAATTTAAAAGTTTTAATTAGGCTCGGCTTTATTTATCTTTTTTTAATAGATGGAAAAGGATAACATTATTTTTTTGTTAAATGGCTTTTATTTTTTAGTATAATATGTATATTTTAATATGATATGGGAAAAGTATTAAAATGATTTAACATATGAAAAGAACGATGTGTTAATTGAGATTTTTTATCTGGACTGATCACTTGTAGTGAGTGAGTGAGTTGGGTTTAACGACGCTTTTAACAGTATTCCAGTCATATCACGGCGTTTGATCACTTGTAATAATTGGTCGGTCAAACTTCTCAAAGCTCTTCCTTGTTGACCTGTGTGATAACTGGGGTGTATGACAAATGACGTAACCTGTGAAGATCCGGGGTAGAATATGGATTGTCTGGTCTAGACCGCCGTCATATAGCTGGAATATTGCTGAGTGCGGCGTTAAACAACAAACAAACAAACAAACAAACAAACACATTTAACTAGATGATCAAACAGTTTATATTTACCGAAGAGTTTATTTTGATTAGAAACTGAGAGGACTCACTAAAAAAACCAGCTTGACCAAGAACCTACTCGAGGATTTGGGTTAGGATGAGTGAGGACTATTGTTCTACTTTGTTAAGATTCCTTGCTATTTGAGAATGGTGTCAATATCATGAATAATATATCCTGAAAATAGAGAGAATGCTCTATCTATTTACACAGTTTGAGAATATAACATGTCATGAAAACAAATCAATTTGTTTAATAGTTGCGTTTATAGTCGCCTACCTTGTTTGGGTTAGTCTATTGCATTGAAGGGGCGGTCGGGTAGCCTAGTGGTTAAAGCGTTCGCTCGTCACGCCGAAGACCCGGGTTCGATTCCCGACATGGGTACAATGTGTGAAGCCCATTTCTGGTGTCCCCAGCCGTGATATTGCTTGAATATTGCTAAAAGCGGCGTAAAACCATATTCACGCACTCACTATTGCATTGACATCAGCCGATGAGTTAGTAAATCCACTTACTATGTGATTATAACCTGTCTGACCAATGGGGGGACACCCATGGGTCACCCGAGAAGATCCGGGGTAGAATAGGTCTTCAGCAACTCATGGTGCCGTAAAAGGCGACTATGTTTGTCATAAGAGGCGACTAACTGGATCGGGTGGTCAGGCTCGCTGACTTGGCTGAAGCATGTCGTTATTGCGTGGATCGATGCTCATGATGTCAATTACTAGATTGTCTGGTCGAGACTCGATTATATATAGACCGCCGTGGAGTGTGGCGTTAAACAACAAACAAACAAACACCCAAGGTACAACGTGTATAGCTCATTTCGTCCCTCTCCCTGTTGTGTTATTGCTGGAATATTGTTAAAACGAGACATAAAATAACACACACTCACTACAATAGCATTACTGTTGTGGAATAGCTTAACATGGTGTTTACTGTTAAATCATTTTAACAGAGACGTGCCGCAAGATATCTCCAAGGCATCCATCAAGACGAACGACACCGTATTATCTCTGGATTGGGATCTTCTTGCCAGAAGCCAATGCATTCCCGTCATTGGAGTCAACCAAGATAGCGACAAACAGACTCTCGTCGGCTTCAATTAGCAGCCATGTTCGTTGACCGAGGTGCCGATTCAGCCACTGTTGATCAATCAAAGAGCCTGCCTGTCCAGTCTGCTGCAGGGGGGAATGAAAAGCGTGACCCGCTGAATGTAGGTGTGGTCTTAATGACATTTAACACTCAGTAAGAGTCTTTGAGTTTGTTCATTTGAGAAATCATGAAAACTCATTCATACCTCAATATACGTTGTGTAACCTTTTGAACGCCATAACAACTGTACGCCAATCGACATTCTTATTGAAAGCCCCGTGGGGGCCCAGTCTGGAATAGACTTCAACAACCTATTGTTTGAGACAAGATGGGTTCAACGTGCGTTGAAAATTATTGTACTTGTATAGCAACGTGCATGCACGTCCTTCCGCTCATCAATCCTAATATTGTCCCTTCTGCCAAGCCTTAACTGTAATGTTTCAGCCCTAAATGAAGCAAGTCTATATTTTCCACAAGTTCAGGATCTCCCATCTCACTGGTTGGTTGGTTGGTTGGTTGTTTAACGCCGCACTCAGCAATATTCCAGCTATATGACGGCTGTCTGTAAATAATCGAGTCTGGACCAAACAATCCAGTGATTGACATCATGAACATCGATCTACGCAGTTGTGATACGATGACATGCATCAACCAAGTCAGCGAGCCTGACAACCCGATCCAGTTAGTCGCCTCTTACAACAAGCATTGTTGCCTTTTACGGCAAGCATGAGTTGCTGAGGACCTATTCTACCCCGGAATACCCCTGGGGCTCCTTTTCAATTTAAATTTAGTAGCTTGTTTCTTTCAAAATTATATATTTTCAGAGACTAAGCGTTAGTCTAGCACGTGTGTGTCTGGCCGCTTGTACTAGTCCGGATTAATGCCAGTTTTATTTTGCTAGCCCACTGAGAAAACATGCCACAGTTTAACATTGTGCAATGTTTGAAGCACATTTCTGATGCCCCCGCCGTGATGTGACTGGAATATTGCTAAAAGCAGCGTCAAATTCAACATCAGTCCTTGCAGTAAATGTTTATGCATACAGAACGATATTTGTGTCAGTGAACACACATATTTCAAAGGGGCGCTAATCTCTGGGTCCTTCTCGGCTGTCTGACACTGGCCGCTAGGGCTCACTAGCTGCCGTGGGTCGATTTTCTCGCAAACCCCCCGCAGTGATTGACATCATGAACATCGATCTACGCGGATGGGATACGATGACATGCATCAACCAAGTCAGCGAGTCTGATAACCCGATCCAGTTAGTCGCCTCTTACAACAAGCATTGTTGCCTTTTACGGCAAGCATGAGTTGCTAAGGACCTATTCTACCCCGAATCTTCACGGGTCTCATCTAGTTGAAAACAAGCATTATTTGATATATATTTTCACTTATGAGTTGTTATCTTAATTATTTAACCAATTGGTTATCTGGTGAATGGATTGAATTATTTATAGAAATTTAATTTGGGTGGGGGGAGGGGGTGGGGGGGGGGGGGGGGGGGGGGGGTGGGGGGGTGCGCACCCCCCTTTTTATTTCGAAACAAAAAATCTTTATTTCTGTATAAATTACCAACAAAGACAAAAAATAGATCTTAATTGTGCACCCCCCCCTTTTAAAAAAAGCTGTATCCGCCCATGCTACCGTCTGCAAGGACATCTTCCCGAGCCAAGGGAAATTACTATCCAACTCGAAAATACGAATAATGAGGGGGGCATTAACATTTTCTTCTGTCATATCACGATGACCCATTCGGTCACTGGGCCATATCGTTGAATGAATAGCGAGTGACTGTTTTCTTAATAAATCTAATCTATGTCTGAGAAACCCAGTTGAGAAAGCTGTTATCATAAATATGCACAAGATCAAATTACAGATCCATGATTGACTACTTCGTACTGATGATTCAAGGGGCGGTCGGGTAGCCCAGTGGTTAAAGCGTTCGCTCGTCACGCCGATGACCCGGGTTCGATTCCCGACATGGGTACAATGTGTGAAGCCCATTTCTGGTGTCCCCCGCCGTGATATTGCTAAAAGCGGCGTAAAACCATACTCACTCACTCTAATGATTCAATCGAATTCACCTATGTCTGTGTCGCAATGTCATGGTTTCAGAATGTTAATAAAAGTTCTTTGATCTTATCTTGTTTGCATTATCATCATCGCCTTGATAATCCACAGATGTGGCAGAAACTTCTGTGGAGGTACCAGATGAGAGTACTACGCAGTAAGCAGGATGACGTCACACATGACCCTTGTGTTATGTAATAGTTGGTTGGTTTGTTGTTTAACGCCGCACTCAGCAATATTCCAGCTTTATGACGGCGGTCTGTAAATGATCGAGTCTGGACCAGACAATCCAGTGATAGACATCACCGAAGTCCCGGGTTCGATTCTCGACATGGGTACAATGTGTGAAGCCCATTTCTGATGTTCCCCGCCGTGATATTGCTTGAATATTGCTAAAAGCAGCGTCAAACTACACTCATAATATTCCAGCTATATGACGACGGTCTGTAAATAATCGAGTCCTGGACCAGACAACCCAGTGATTAATATCATGAGCATCGATCCACGCAATTGGGATCAATGACATGCATCAACCAAGTCAGCGAGTCTGATCCCGATCCCGTTAGTCGCCTTTTACGACACGCATAGTCACCTTTTACGGCAAGTATGGGTTGCTGAAGACCTATTCTACCCCGGAATCTTCACGGGTCGCTGGTCACCATGGAAGCCATTCGATTCCCCACATGAGTACAATGAGTGAAGCTGGAATATTGCTAAATGCCATGCAAAGCGACTATGATTGTCGTAAGAGGCGACTAACGGGATTGGTTGTTCAGGCTCTCTGACTTGGTTGATGCATTTCATCGTATCCCAATTGCGTGGATCGATGCTCATGATGCCACCCGTGCCCCCTTTGAAATTAGGACTCCCATCAGCTTATGTTCTGTTGGTCAATAGAGTTCATGGCTGCTGATGCTTTACCTCGACTTCAAGGGTATACATGGGCACACTATAAGTTGTAGCAGTATCAGAAGCCGGTGGTGAGTCGAGTGATGTGCCTTGAGTGATACTGTCAACAAATGTATCTTAGGCTAACACATAATAGTCTTGGTTCTCAGATTCACCGAAGTGGTAAAGAGACCTGCATCACTTCGGGCTTTCTTTCCACATCAAGCTGACACGCCGTGATATAACTGACATACTGTTAAAAACGGCGTTAAACCCAACTCACTCTCTCACTCCATCACTCACTTACTCACTGGGTTCTCAAGCACCACCCGCATCACCATAAAGTCTGCCGCAATTTCGTTTTTATTTCCATTTTTAAAAACATGTAAAAATGCTAATACAATGTACTTAAACAAGGTGATACAATAGAGCATGCAGTTACTTCCATTTACTGCGCATCTCATGTTATGGTCATGGCGGAAGTAGGAGTTTGCAAGCTTGTTTATGTAGGAGGCCCTTTCCCAGGTTTATGGCACATAACTGTTTATTTGGTTACATACAAGTTTGAACAAGCAACTAAAAAAACTAAAAAAATCCCTCCTGCACTATATTTTCAAAAGTCATTGCCTGAGAACCAATTCTTTTATTTTTTTTAAGCCTTACGTGTCATTGTAAAAGAATTAAAACAAGTTCAAAAATGATAGAAACCAGCTGTCAAATTAAGCTGAGGTTAACTTGTGCTTTGTCACCTTTCATTGACTAGGAACAAGCGTAGAGTGTTTTGCTTCGAAGTGGGGTGTTCCATGACAGATTAACTTTAGTAATATGAAAGAACTCGGTGATCTTAAACTATTTTTGAATCGTGTAACATTACTTAATATCTGAAATAGCATTGCGTATTCACTTACAAAAGGCTTAGGATTAACCTGTTTTGGGTATTGTGAGGTTTATGACATATTTTGTTTAAGTTAATGCTTATATTTAAAAGGGGTGGGGGAGGAAATTGAAGACTTTGTCATCTCGTTGTTTATACAAGTAAACTTACATCCTGGCCTCCTTGTCCACATTTGTCTGCATGACTGTGTAAACCACAGACACCACTAGACAGATGACATCATAACTTGTCTTTCATATTCGCTTCATTGACAACACTTCCAACTTTTCGGTCCTGAACCCAACATAATATGACTGTTATATCAGCGATGTCATTTTGATCCAAACAAGAACCCTGCTTCATCAGGCTAAACCCAAAACACAATGAGCTGGCTCACTAAAGCTGCACTGGGAATTCAGCCTAGTAGCCTATATTTGTTTCAATAGGGAACGTAATGGACCGGGTGATAAGGCTCGATGATTTTCTTGGATGAATGTCATCGTACCCATGGTGTGGATCACTGCTCATAATATCTTGGCTTTTCAGGGCATCGTTGTCCAAGAGAAGGAGACCTTTCAATGGTTTTCAGATTTATTGTTTTCATAACACGTCCCCAGTACCTCATGCTTGTTGTAAGAGCAAACCTAAGTTGAGATTAATTGATTAGATTCTAATTGCGTGAGATGGTTTGTGTAGTTCAGACCATCCTCCCGAGGCAAGCGTGTCCACTAGCCCATATCATAGTCTAGTTTCTACCCTTCCTACATCAAGGCCACTTTTCTTGGCTCGACCCTGGCGCCATCTCGCGTAGATCACGAGTTGTGCCCCTTATGAAAACGGGATATCCAATCAGATCGCTGTTCTTATCTCGTATAGCTCCACAAAGATGGCGACTACCATAAGCAATGACCTAGTCGATCAGACAACAAAAACATTGATTTCACAAAAACCTTTGCAATTGTTGGGGGGTTAAAAGATGAAAAAACATATTCGTGTCAACAAAGACAGGCATGTGCGATAGTCCATTATATTTAGTGCTGGAAAGTGGGATTGATGTGGCAAGGGTGGGAACAAGACTTTGATAAAGACTCTTGCCTCAGGAAGAGTGAGTGAGTTTGGTTTAACGCCTCTTTTAACAGTATTCCAGTTATATTGCGGCGTGTCAGCTTAATGTGGGAGGAAAGCCTGAAGTGATGCAGGTCTCAGACGTTTACCACTTCAGTGAAACCCACGAGCACGGGTATGGTGCTGACAAACCTAGAAACATAATCGGGGCGAACCGTGATTCGAACCCACAATCATAGGTTTCTGGCATGCCCAAGGGACGCAACTCTACACAGCGAATCGCGGCGCCTTAGACGACTGGGCCATCCGTGCCCCCTCAGGAAGATGGGTTCAGACTTGATCATTTACATGCCACTGTGACACAGGAGGAACACCATCAACTTCAGTTGACTCACTCATACAAGCAGGAAATACTGGTACTTGAGACCCATTCCAACCCAGAATCCCCAAGGTTTAATGATCTGGAATGAAGATGCCATGATAAGGTGAGATGACGTTTAACGTTGTGTACAGACTGATGACAGTTTTTTTGTGCTAGCCCACCGAGATACCATGCTGCAGTTTCACATGGATATCCTACTCCGACACCGTATACTGATTCCAAGTCAACCAGTCCTTGTTTTAGCCCCTTAATGCCAATTGCCAGGCAGGGTGACAAGAAGTACAATCTTTTAACATCTTTTGGTATGAAGCAGCCAGGTATCGAACCCCAATCCATTTGCTCTCTAAGCAGATGCTCTATCCACTAGACCAAGGAGGCGACTGACGCCTTGATTAGGATGAGAAGCACTACATGTCTCGTCAATGGAATGAGATAGTTTATTGTATAATATCTATGCATTCATTTTCAACGTTAACCATAAATAAAAAATACAATAGACAAACAATGGCATTGCGGGTTAACTGGAGTACTGTATTTGACATAATTAGCGCCCCCGCTCTAATAAGCGCCCTAGGCGATATTTGCTAATATATTGGATAGTGAACAATCCCAATTGCCACCCCTCCCGATTGATCAATGTACACAAGACTTACTTTTTCGTGTATAATACGCATTCGTGTGTTATATGCACTCTTAATTATGGGCAATTAAATTCTGGAAAAATATATCTGTCGTACATAAACATTTCAGGCTGTCAGCATAAACCACAAAATTTATCTTTCAACTCTGTTTTTTTCACCAAAATAATATTCTAATAAGAGCCGCCTCTTTCGTATTTTGAGAACGCCCTGGGCGCTTATTACGTCGAATACAGTGACATCAAGGAAGTGAGGAGTAGAATAGAAATACAGGCATTCTCCTATGAAATAGGTTGTCATCAAGTCTGTTAAGCCATTCAGTATTGTAGGTAAAAGCATGCATCCAGAAGTATTCCTTGTCTAGACCTGAGAAGATTCATCTATTTCAACATCATCAACATGATGGAAGAAAGATAAGGCTAAAAAAAATAAAAGAATTGGTTCTCAGACAATGACTTTTGAAAATATAGTGCAGGCGGGCGGTGTTTTTGTTGTTGTTGTTCAAACTAGTATATAACCAAATAAACAGATGTGTAACCAAATAAACAGATGTGTAACCAAATAAACAGTTGTGTACAATCAAACTGGGAAAGGGCCTCCCTACATAAATGTATTCCTTAATGAGTAAAATACTGGAATACAGTATTTGACTACCGTTTTTTGTTTTTTTGTAAAAATGGCAATAAAAATGAAACGTGCGGTGAACTTTATGATGATGCAGGCGGTGGCTGAGAACCAAGACTATTATCTTTTGTAGCCTAACAAATATGCATTTACATGCTATGTTGGACACAAATGTCTCTAAATAAACCTGCTGTTAGAATGTCATTTATGAAGCAGCTATTTACCAGGTCTTATTGTAAAAACATCATAATGTACAATAATTATGAATAATAACAATAGGTCAGCGTTAGAAATTGGCACTAGTCCTGTAGTCCATGCCAAACTGCCCAATGGTAAAGGTATCATAAGGACTAGTAGAAATTTGCCCTTTTTAAGGGTTTTGCTATATGTTATCATTATAAGGACTAGTGGACGAAAACTGTTAGTTTCTAACCCTGTAGGTGTTATTCATGTTATTAAATATATTCCTTAACTTAGCTTGGGATCTTTCATAAGATCAACCAAACTGATCACATATTATTTGATTAAGAAAGCCTTGTATCTGACATCTCAAGATAAACAAGTAAATTGCAACCGATTCCATAGCGTTTGATAGGCTAACCAAGCAAGGAATTGTTTGGTTCTCTGTTTCCAGAGCAATGATGTCACATGCACCAGTAGATACATTTGTTGCATTATTGCGCTTAACGATGTCACTGGTTTCGTATTTTCTTCGTCTTTTTTGTTAATGATGCAATAGGCAGTCTGTGAAGTTATTTTATCATAAGAATTGACTTCAGTGTTGTTTGTTTGTGTTTATCATGGTACAACCTAATATCCTGTGTGCGCTCTTTGCATAAATGCAATTTGCTGGTTAACACAGTGCACACCGGTTCTTTATGCCTCCATAAAAGCAGCAAATATTGTCAATTCTTTAGCATATTTGAACAGTGCAAGTAGAGTTTCAGTTATCTCATCTTCCCGAGGCAAGAGCTTCCACTAGACTTTTTTATCAGTCTTGTTTCCACCCTTGCAACATCAAGCCCACTTTCCTGTGCTAAATATGACTGGACTATCACACATATCGATAGTCCAATCAGACTGGTACACCTTCGTATGAAAGTGATTTACTGCTGGAATATGTCTTTTTCATCTTTTAACAACCCCCCCAGACCCCAACGATTGCAGAGATTTTTGTGAAATTGTGAATGTTTTTGTGTCAGGTATGAAATTGCGAATGTTTTCGTTGTCTGATTGACTTGGTCGCCAATCTTTTGTGAAGCTATACGAGATAAGAACAGCGATCTGATTGGATATCTCGTTTTCATTACAAGGGGCACAGCTCGTGATCTATGCAAGGTGGCGCCAGGGTGGAGCCAAGCAAAGTGGCCTTGATGTGGCAAGGGTAGAAACTAGGCTTTGATATAGGCTAGTGGACATACTTGCCTCGGGAAGATGCAGTTATCTTGCATTGTGCCTTTTTGCTCACACATTACATGCCTAAGGCAATACTTTTCCCTTTACAAATATCACATCCATTCAATATCAAATACATGCATTCAAACTCTCAAAATGTTAAGAACCAGTTGAGCACACTCCGGTACCTTCTTCGGCTCTGTCACTCTCCCTAGTTTGACTATAGGATCCTGTAGGCCTAGAGACTGAGCTAGTGCGAATGCTTCCTCATCCCCAGACAAGATAGTACCGATGCTAACAAGGACTCTAAAACTGGCTTCATGGTCTGGTGAGGCTTCGAGGACATTTCGAGCAGCGGAAAGGCATTGTGATTTACCTTCGATATCCTCTGTTCCACGTAGAGCAATTGCATAGTTCAGAATGACAGTGCCAATGGCTATCTGTACATTCTTGTTAGTTTTCCTGCAGCTGAGTGCAGAGCCTAAGACAGTGTCTCTGTTCTCACATACAGCCTTTCTACCCTGGGATTGGGAGAACAGGTTAGTTAGGGATCGCAGGGCCAGCATCTGACAGGCTGGTGGGTTGTCTGGGGTGATGAAGGAAATCAGCTGTTGTATCGTGGCTTGGTTGCTGAAGGCTTGGTTGACCAGGGGATGCTTCACACAAATCCTCACCACATCCAGGGCTGGGAACACCACATCTGTAACAACACTGTAACTGTCAGTGGATAGTTAGGACTCACTGAATCAGTGCTGAACATTTAGGTGAACACCACGTCAGTAACACCATGCAACTATCAGTCAATAGTTAGAACTCATTGAATCAGTGCTGAACATTTAGGTGAACACAACGTCAGTTACACAATGCAACTATCAGTCAATAGTTAGAACTCATTGAATCAGTGCTGAACATTTAGGAGAACACCACATCTGTAACAACATTGTAACAGTCAGTCAATAGTTAGGACTCATTGAATCAGTGCTGAACATTTAGGTGAACACCACATCAGTGACAAGATGTAACTATCAGTCAGTAGTTAGGACTCATTGAATCAGTGCTGAACATTTACGTGAACACCACATCAGTGACAAGATGTAACTATCAGTCAGTAGTTAGGACTCATTGAATCAGTGCCGAACATTTAGGTGAACACCACATCAGTGACAAGATGTAACTATCAGTCAGTAGTTAGGACTCATTGAATCAGTGCTGAACATTTACGTGAACACCACATCAGTGACAAGATGTAACTATCAGTCAATAGTTAGGACTCACTGAATCAGTGCTGAACATTTAGGTGAACACCACATCAGTGACAAGATGTAACTATCAGTCAGTAGTTAGGACTCATTGAATCAGTGCTGAACATTTAGGTGAACACCACATCAGTGACAAGATGTAACTATCAGTCAGTAGTTAGGACTCACTGAATCAGTGCTGAACATTTAGGTGAACACTACATCAGTGACAAGATGTAACTATCAGTCAGTATTTAGGATTACTGAATCAGTGCTGAACATTTAGGTGAACACTACATCAGTGACAAGATGTAACTATCAGTCAGTAGTTAGGACTCACTGAATCAGTGCTGAACATCGGTAACACCAGGTAACAACACTTGGAACAAGTAAATTGTTAGGACACACCTCCACATCAACACAAACAGAGAGGCTACTCACTTGACGGCCAGGCCAGCAGACTCTGCACTGTCTGCAACTGTTGTTGTGAGGCTGACTGACCCGAGATGAGTGATGACAGGTCATCTATTCTGGAGTCCGGCACCTTCAGGCTGTCACTCACTGTCCCATTTAACTCCTTTATCTTGCCTGAACAAAACCAAGACAGTATTACTACAGGACCAGATTCTAGCATATGCAGTCAATGTGTACACACCCTATTAAATGGAATAAACACTGATCTACTGACCTGGGTAATAATTACACACACTATGAGCAGCCTTGAATTAGCTCGACAAAATAACACTGTACTCAGCAATATTCCAGCTACATGACAGAGTTCTGTAAATAATTGAGTCTGGACCAGAAAATCCAGTGATTGACATCAGTCATCAATCCACCCAACTGAGATACGATGACATGCATCAACCAAGTCAGCGAGCCTGACTACCGGATCCCGTTAGTCGCCTCTTACATCAAGCATTACCCATGAAGATCAGGGTTAGAATAGGTCTTCTGCAACCCATGCTTGCCGTAAAAGGTGTCTATGTTTGTCGTAAGAGGTGACCAACCGGACTGGGTGGTCGGCTTGCTGACTTGGTTGATGCATCTCATACACTGGATTGTCTGGTCCAGAGTCGATTATTTACACACTGCTGTCATATAACTGGAATATTGCTGAGTGTGGCATTAAACAACAAACAAAACAAGCAAAAAATACGACAAGCATAGTCACCTTTTACGGCAAGCATGGGTTGCTGAAGACCTATTCTACCCCGGGTCTTCACGGGTCATAAGTAAATGTAATTAGCATTATGTCAAAGTGAAAACAGAATGTGGCTTTCACTTGATAAAACCTCATTACTTCAGCAGGTCTCCTGACCAAGGCTAGGTACAGGTAACGTAGATCGCCGTCCTTAAAGTGACCCCGCCTATAAGGCAACCCCCCTGTAAAAACCTTCAAAATCGATGCTAATTTATATACCCCGTCTATAAAGCGAATCTAAATGAAGCACTTCACCAGCGCATACACAATTCATTTGCAATAAAAACGTGTTTGCCTTCCGCAGAAAAAAAATACATCGTATCCCTAGCAAATTCAGGTAAACAAACATATGATAACAATTAAACTTGGTCAGTGCAAATTTGAAATTTGAGTGAGTGAGTGAGTATGGTTTTACGCCGCTTTTAGCAATATTCCAGCAATATCACGGCGGGGGACACCAGAAATGGGCTTCACACATTGTACCCATGATATTTGAGATAAAACATGACTAGACATTATGTTTTACCATCTAAATTGTATTTCCTGTTTTGCTAGGCACTGTTTTATATGCAGAGGATAAGATCACTGTGTTTATTTTCTCATAAACTTAGCCGGAAGCAGCAATCAGCTGTACACACATTTTCTCAGAATCTACCGTGATTCGGTTAAAAATTACCAAATAAAATAACTTTAAAGAATTTTGATACAATGATCGGAAGAATTGCATCTGAAACTATTATGTTATCAGAAATAATATATTCCAGTGTTATGTCATTTTGGTTGTAGCTTTACTATATACATTTGAAATAAGTTAATAACCATAAGCATAGCACTTTGGTACAGCTGATTGCTATTGCCGGACATGTTTTTCATATGGAACAATTTGACCAATCACTGTTGATGCTCCCCCACTCGTGATCACACTCATGAAAACTTTATGTTGACATACAACAGTCAAACTACAACAAATATGACTTCTAAAGAGTCAAAGTATGGCATTTATGATATTTATATATCCATTCTCTGTCCACTAAATGTTGTTCCAAGGCGTCAATAGTGAAAATCTGACTCTGGTTGCTGTAAATAACGGTGAGTTGTACGATCTATTGATCACTCAACCGTGTGTATAAGGCGACCCCCCTTGAAACCCCCTTAATTCTAGGTTTGAAAAACTTGCCTTATTCATGGCGATATACGGTATCATGTTTTGATAAAAAATAGAGTACCTTCCTAAAAACAATATAAATCAATTTTTCATGTTCTCTAGCAATATACATTTTAAGTTCATCAAACAATATGATGTCATCACCACCTGATAATAAACGTACCTATAATCTGTGTGGGGTTGGCCTGGTCGAAGGTGAGGAAGGAGGTGAGGGGGAAGAAGGAGTTGCTGGAGGTGGAGGTGCTGCTGCTGCTGCTGCTGCTGCCAGCTGGTTTGTAACTGCCAGAGCCTGAAACACAATGTCGGTTAAGCTTGCAGATAGTCAACAGAGAACAGTTACTACTTTCAAACCCTTTACCCAATATGTAGATGGAGTATGATGTGACATAACATGCCTAACTAGCAACAAGCAGTAGGAACTTTCGGCCACCCCCAGGTCATTATGTAAGAGCATTCATTAAGCATGTACTTGATGTACAGATTAGATCCTGTGGAGTGAGTGAATTGTTTTCAACCACAATCAACTCCTTTACAGCAATCTCGCTATCGCTAAACAAAGATCTGAGGACATCCCATTACGGGTCACGTCAGAACGACCTTTCATCCGACCAATCAGAGCGTCACTTACCAGATCATGAAAGTGACAGTCCGAATGTGCTTTCTAATCATGCAACCTTGAAAATGTCAACACGGGGTATTCCCAACGACAGTTACGACCCGTACGACTGATTCTGTAAAAATTATCGTCTATCTCTCGCTTCCGTGGGATAAACATTTGAATGGAAGAGGCATTGAACAGTACATGGGAAGCACTGCCATACAATCTCAACCATAAATTAGACATTCCGGAATGTTTGTTTGTTCAGTTTTCAAAATTTAAATCGAGAAATGTGTCAACATATTTTTCAAGTGTAGTTTGAAATGGAAGTCGCCAGGTTAAAACGAGTGCTGTAAAGCTCAAGAAAGCTGCTTTCTAATTGGCTGATGTTGACTTCTTGTTAGCCATTTCAGTGGTTGGTCAAAATTTGCAAAAGGTCGTTCTGACGTGACCCGTAATGGGATGTCCGTAGATCTTTGTTTAGCGGCAGCAAGAACTCTGATTTTAATGAGATTGCCTTTACAGCAGCCTGTAAATAATTAAACCTGACGAGGCCAAAGGACTGTTTGACTGCATACACAATCCAGTAAAGATGAAAATGACTGTATTGTGTTTGACACTGTGACGGTTTTCTTACCAGTGAAGGGGTCAGCTCCATGTGTGTCTCCAACTCCTGCTCCGGCTCCTGGTGCAGCAGTGGACCCTGGGACATATCGTCCTTCACCTTCACAAAAAGAGTCAACAATCAGTCAACAAAACATTAGACAACAAACACTCAAGACAAATGACAGTCCACAAAGCAAAAATGTTTTATTTTTTAGAGTAAATATATCAATTGTACTTATCCTGACACATACTAATTGCTTATCTCTTCTTATTCCCGAAAGGTAGTGGAAAACGTCCTTTGATGTGTTCCTGGAGAACAGAAAACATCTCACCCAAACGCTCCTCTGTCATACAAAGGCTCACAGGAACCACTTTACCAACCTTTCTGAATAATCACGGTTTTATTTTCTCCTTGCCTCCTTAAGTTAAAATCACATCAGAGGCGATGGTTTGGCGGGTGCTTCAGCGTATAAGTCAGGAAATGCATTAATGATATTTTTAGTCTAAAAAATACATATTTCACCTTTTCCTGACTCATACTAATTGCTTGAATCTCACTGATGGTAGTGGGTCTCGCCTGAGTGTGTGGGTCTGACACTGTCTGTTCTGTAGAAACCCATGGGAACGAGGTCAGACATCTTCTAGGCTCTATTGTTGTTCTTCTCCGCTATCATTGGGAACCACCTCCTTTCAGGGAAAAAGGAGCAAATCTTAAGATTTTATGGATTTGATAAAGCGTGCATAGAATATCACTCAAGCTTTCTTAATAAACTACTTTAGTGTTAAGAAAAGGTTGAATATTAGCACGGTCGTTATCACTCATGCTCTGAGGGATCTTGTAACACAGGGGGACATGGACTCTTCGTTGTTGGTTATGGAACAGTAAGCTGATGTCCACAAGAAGTGATATGTGGGTGAATGTACCTCTAATGTCTTCACTCGCGCGTAGGGTAGCCTAGTGGTTAAAGTGTTCGCTTGTCACGCCCACGACCCGCGTTTTATTCCAGACACAGGTACAATGTGTGAAGCCCATTTCTGGTGTCCCCCGCCGTGATATTGCTGGAATAATGCTAAAAGCGGCGTAAAACCATACTCACTCATTCACTCGAATGTCTTCTGGTAGGCACCATTAGTTACTGTGTTATTGCCCATGGGATGGATTGATGTATGTCAGCAATGTCTTCAGTGGTGAAACCTTTGAGGTAATGATTCGTAAAGACAGAGTCTTGATCTCCAGAACCATCCTTCCCTAATGGTGGAGTGAGTGAGTGAGTGAGTGAGTGAGTGAGTGAGTGAGTGAGTGAGTGAGTATGGTTTTGCGCCGCTTTCACCAATATTCCAGCAAGATCATGGTGGGGAACACGAGAAATGGTCTTCACACATTGCACCAATGTCGAGAATCGAACCCGGGTCTTCGGTGTGACGAGCAAACGCTTTAACCACTAGGCTCCCCGACCGCTGGACATACAGGAGTGGCGGAGACGTGGCTGTTGAAGAGAGAGGAAGAGGACCATGGTTGTCAGAGGAAGTCGCTCTTAAACTCAGAATCCCATTCTGTAAGGGCCAGATAACCAAGGCGTCGAGTAGTAGCAAGTTTGACCAAAGCAGCTCGCACATGATTCCACAAGAGATCAATCTGGCGCTGTTGATAGGTCATGACGATGGGAAGATGATCAACTTGGTTAGAATTCGACTCAGCGAGGTCCTGGATGATATCATCGATGTGTAGACAGGCGCTGTTGGTAGAACAGTCATCGGCGCCTGATCCATCACCGTTGTGGTGCCCAACACCTGAATAGGTGAGGCGGTAGTAGAGAGAGAATTCTCTGACGAAGCCAATCATAGAGGGGTAGATGCTGGGGGCTTCCAGCCCACAGAAGAAGAGGTAGTCAAGGCTGGTGATGGAGTGGTAGGCTCAGAAGAATCCATATCCTGAGTGCTAGTTTACAAGCATGTTGCGTCCACGATTTACGTGATACGTTCAGGTACTGTGGGAGAGAGTGGTAGACAAGCGCTACACTTAGTAGCTGTTGAGCAAATGTCAGTCCAGTTCAGTTACAAGGGATGAGGGTCCCAGCCAGACTTGTTACTATGGCGCTTAGTACAATGGGGCATATATCTGCAATGAAGCAGAGGTGTAATCATCATGCCTTCCGAACCCGATTGTGTAGGTATGATATAATCTCAATCCAAACCATGAGGCTTAAAGGACAAGTTTACACACAAGAAAGCAAAAAAGCCACTTACATAACCATAAGGAAACAAAGATACAACAACGCAAATGAAGTAACAAGCAACACAAACAATACAAAACGCTTGACACGAAAAAACGTGACCGTGAGGTAAATTCAAAAGCCTAATTGGAACAACAATACGTCCCATATTTACCATGACAAAAAGCCATCATCAAGCATTAAATATTAATGCAATGGCAAAAATAGTAGGTAAGACATGAAGACACAAACCATAGGAAGGATATAAATCACACAATACAAAAGTGTTGAATAACACATAGAGGATTGCAATGGAGATAGCTGGAACACTCAAAACAGGACTGTTCTGAGTGATAGCAGCAATGTGCTGTTCAGTGACATCATCACTTTCTTGGTCACATGGGCACTGTGTAATGGGATTAGCCACACAACTAGTTGGAACAACTTTTTCTTCAGCAAGACCTCACACAGCTTCTTCTTTCTGTAAAAACAAGCAATAAATGCATTTAGCAGTAAAGCAGGAAAAGCTAAAAAAAATTCCCAACTAGCTCGGAGCGAAAATAAGAGAGTGATGATCAGACTGGTTGGTCATGTGGTTCCAGTGACTGATATACTGAAGCACCAGGCCAACCGTCCCCGCTCTCTCTGATGTGATTTTGACTTAAGAAGGCTAGGAGAAAATAAGAGTGATGAGTGAGTGAGTGAGTTGTGTTTAACGCCGCTTTTAACAGTATTCCAGTTATATCGCGGCATGTCAGCTTAATGTGGGAGGAAAGACCGAAGAGATGCAGGTCTCAGACGTTTACCACTTCGGTGAAACCCACGAGCACGGCTATTGTGCTGACAAACCTAGAAACATAATCAGGGCCAACCGGGATTGGAATCCACAATCATAGGTTTCTGGCATGCCCAGGGGACGCAACTCTGCACAGCGAATTGCGGCGCCTTAGACGACTGGGCCACCCGTGCCCCCAAGAGTGATGAGTCAGACAGGTTGGTTCCGGTGCATCTGAGAGAGGAAGGGTCGTGTTTGGGTGAGATGTTTCCTGTTCTCCGGAACGCAGAGCAAGAAGTTTCCACTACCTTTCGGGAATAAGAAGAGATAAGCTAAAAGTGTAAGTCAGGATTAGGTAAACTGTGACATAATCTGATAATGAAAATGTTTCCTGGCTATCCATTCCCCTATGTGTATGATGGCTAATAGTCTATAGAGTCTAGATATGGAAATGGACGAAGCCATGGTGGTGTTACTGACCGGTGAAAGGGTCAGAGTAGGCTGGCTGTTCTGTACCCAGGGTTACTCCTTTGGTGTTGTCTGTGATGAACTTAGCCACCTGGTCAAGGAACATTTGACTGAGCTCGTGTTTATCAAGGAACCTCTGTGCGGCAAACCATGGGTCTTCACTGACATTGTACGGAAGTTTGAGAGGCGGCATTCCTTCCTGAATGTCCACGCTGAACACATAGTCGTATTCCTGTAAGTAGTGAGTGAGATGGGTTCAACAGGACACACAGTCATATTCCTACAAGTAGTGAGTCAGATGGGTTCAACAGGACACACAGTCATATTCCTACAAGTAGTGAGTCAGATGGGTTCAACAGGACACACAGTCACATTCCTACAAGTAGTGAGTCAGATGGGTTCAACAGGACACAGTCGTATTCCTGTAAGTAGTGAGTCAGATGGGTTCAACAGGACACACAGTCATATTTCTACAAGTAGTGCATCAGATGGGTTCAACAGGACACACAGTCATATTCCTACAAGTAGTGAGTCAGATGGGTTCAACAGGAGATACAGTCATATTCCTACAAGTAGTGAGTGAGATGGGTTCAACAGGACACACAGTCATATTTCTACAAGTAGTGAGTCAGATGGGTTCAACAGGACACACAGTCACATTCCTACAAATAGTGAGTCAGATGGGTTCAACAGGACACACAGTCATATTCCTACAAATAGTGAGTCAGACGGGTTCAACAGGACACACAGTCACATTCCTACAAATAGTGAGTCAGATCGGTTCAACAGGACACACAGTCATATTCCTACAAATAGTGAGTCAGATGGGTTCAACAGGACACAGTCACATTCCTACAAATAGTGAGTCAGATGGGTTCAACAGGACACACAGTCACATTCCTACAAATAGTGAGTCAGATGGGTTCAACAGGACACACAGTCATATTCCTACAAATAGTGAGATGGGTTCAACAGGACACACAGTCACATTCCTACAAATAGTGAGTCAGATGGGTTCAACAGGACACACTGTCACATTCCTACAAGCAGTGAGTCAGATGGGTTCAACAGGACACACAGTCACATTCCTACAAATAGTGAGATGGGTTCAACAGGACACACAGTCATATTTCTACAAATAGTGAGTCAGATGGGTTCAACAGGACACACAGTCATATTTCTACAAATAGTGAGTCAGATGGGATCAACAGGACACACAGTCATATTCCTACAAATAGTGAGATGGGTTCAACAGGACACACAGTCACATTCCTACAAATAGTGAGTCAGATGGGTTCAACAGGACACACAGTCACATTCCTACAAGCAGTGAGTCAGATGGGTTCAACAGGACACACAGTCACATTCCTACAAATAGTGAGATGGGTTCAACAGGACACACAGTCATATTTCTACAAATAGTGAGTCAGATGGGTTCAACAGGACACACAGTCATATTCCTACAAGTAGTGAGTGAGATGGGTTCAACAGGACACACAGTCATATTCCTACAAGTAGTGAGTGAGATGGGTTCAACAGGACACACAGTTCTTTATATCATAACGTGTCAACTAAATGTAAAAGGAAAGTTCTGGAATCTGGGATAAAACCTACATGAAAGATCCTAAATTTATTTCTCTGATCAGAAGCAATAGAAAATCTCCTCCATCCTGTCCTACCTTGCCTTCATAAAGCGTCTTGCCCGAAGTCTGTTGTGACCCTCCACTGGAGCCAACAACATCCCCAATCTTAGTCCAGCTGGTCTTAGCTGCATCCCACTGGTACAGCTCGATCTTGTCCCCCTGTCGCACCATCTTCTGCTGCCCGTCCTTGCGACCTGGAAACACACAACATACAGTGCAGCAATTGTGTTTTTTGTTTTTTTTATTGGTTTGTTATTTCATGTACCACCCAGTAATGTTCAAGTAATATCATGAGAGTGTGTTAATTATAACTGCTAGGCCAGGGTCCATTTAAACAAACATCTTTCTGAGCCAAGGGTGTTAACTGACTGTAAAAGTCCAGTATCTGCCCTTGCTGACATATTGTTTAATGACAAAAACTCACTGTAGCTCAGTGGTTACACCACAGGTCGTGGATATTCGCATTTTTTTCTGACAATGCACACATTCATTTTGACTTGTATGTGTTTGAGTAAAGATAAAGCTTCAGTCAACTTCAGTGTACCCATGATCTGAGTGTTTCATACATATATCTAAGTAGTTTTTGCAAGGGCCAAACAATTGTATGCCAAACAATTGCCAATCAGTTATTTTGTACTCAACTCTTGAGACCTACAATGGGTACCCGGGTAGGGTCGGGTAATAGGAGGTCGGGTACCCGGGTAGTACTTTTGGACTCGTCCCAGCCCTACTGATTACCCTTGTTGATAACAGACCTAATCCTCATGCCACAGTTACATAGGACAAAACATGGTCACTCATTACGTTAGATGTCATATTCAGTGTGTTCAGACTTTCTCCACATCATATAATCTTACAACATCAAAGCAGTGAAACAGGTGTGTTACCTGGATTAATTAGCACCTCAGGACCAGGTATGTCTTCTGTCTTGATGTCTCCCACCTGTGCCGGAACTGTGGATGCAGATACCTGCTCCTCATAAGCTTGCAGTTCATCAGCCGATGCCATCCGCTCAGGCGCCGATGTGAACACTCGTATGATTCCATCACTACACAGAAGAATGAGTGAGTATGGTTTTACACCGCTTTTAGCAATATTCCAGCAATATCACGGCGGGGACACCAGAAATTGGCTTCACACATTGTATCCATGTGGGGAATCAAACCTGGGTCTTCAGCGTGACGAGCGAATGCTTTAACCACTAGGCTACCCCTGCCCCTTACACAGAAGCAAGCAGGATCAAGGTTAGTAGGGGTGTAAGGAGTATTCAGGGGTGCAACAAATAATCATGGGTGTAACAACAAATCAAACTATTGAACAGGCTTGTGACCTGTATGGTCTGGGATGACAAACCAGTGATCAATATAATGAGCAACATCCCATGTTGTCAGGGTAGTGGTATAACGATACATAGAACTATCGATTGATTGCGATTGTTTGTCTCACAATAGTACACTATCGATTGCAACTTGAAACAATCGATACTATTGGCGATAGTTTGTCTACCTATCGATAGTTTCGATATGACTCCTATGATCATCTAACCTCTGTCGTGCTTTCGTTTGCACTACTTTGTCTGCTTGATTTAGCTACTCGTCGCTAGGCAACATTGACAAGATGGCGGACGCCACATGTCAGTTTGAAATTGTCGCCAATAAGGCAGGCAAATCGTGGGTATGGGACCATTTTGGCTTTCAAAACGAGATAGACAAGCAAAAAGTAAGTTGTAGAATCTGTCGGATAATTCTAAGTAATCAGGAAATACTACTAATCTGACCGACCACTTGACAAGATGGCACCCAGATATTTGTATTAAAATGTTTTTGAGGGGTCAATTTGAACTTGTTTTCTTTTCATTTCTTGTTTTCTTTACAAATAGTATCAGAAAGTTATAATTATTTTGATGGTGTCAGTCAAAATGCTGAAATATATGCTGCGAAAGCCTGCTATAATTGCAAGTGAAAACTATCGCAATAGTAGGGCCACTATCGCAATAGTATCGCAATAGTTGTTTTAACTATCGCAATAGTATCGCAATAGTCAAAAATGCCTCAATAGTCACCCCTATGTCAGGGTATGATGAAACACAAGCAACCAAGTCATCAAATCTGACCACACCATCCAAGTTAGTCATCTCTGACGACAAGCAGACAAGCAAGTCCTGGAGGCCTATTCTAACCTGGATTAGCACTGTGTTCCACATTTGATAATAAGCCTTCATCATGTTTACAGCATATTTAACATGAAACAAAAACTGGGGTACAGGACTACTACAGGCCATCCTCCCGAGGCAAGAGAGTTAACTGACTTTAAAAGTCCAGTTTCCACCCTTGCAGAACTAGGCTGGAATTACTGGGCTCGATCGTAGCGCCACCAGTGGCTATTACCAGTTATGTCCCTTCTAAAAGCTTCTCTTATAGACCAATCAGATTCCACCTCTCGTATCACTTGCGTTTGCATCACACAAAATGGTGGCACCGAGTTAGGATAATCTGATTGATAATAAAGATCTATACTGTGATAAAACGGGTCTTACATCGCAAAATGCATTAAATCAGGCGAGCACCTTGATTAAAAACATGAAAAGATTTGGAAAATATCTCCTGACAACGAGTTGGCGGTGCACATACTTTGCAAATCCTGCAATCTACCGAAATCTGCACGACAGTTTACAAAACGGATTTCGATTTTGGTGCACGATTTTGATTGGACTATGCATTGACTCATTTGTCCAACCAAAATGTAACTCCATAATACCAGCCTAGTTCGGCAAGGGTGGAAACTGGACTTTTATAGTCAGTTAAGTCTCTTTCCTCGGGAAGATACTGAGCGAGTCTGGTTTAACGTCACTTTGAACGGTAATACAGCTATATCATGGCATGTCAGCTTGGTGCAGGAGAGAAGCCTGAAGTGATGCAGGTCATAAGATGTTTACCACTTCGGTGAAACCCATTAGTATGGTGTGGCAAATCTAGAAACATAAGGACAGCAAATCAGGGATTTGACCCACGATCAAAGTTTCTGTCACACCTTGATGCGGGAGAAAAGCCTGAAGTGATGCAGGTCATAAGATGTTTACCACTTCAGTGAGAGCCACTAGAATGGTGAGGACATATCTAGAAACCATCAAAAGTTTCTGTGACACTGTACATGAGTCAGGGACGAAGCTTTGAACAGCTAATTGTGCTGCTGAAGATGAGTCGGCCACCCACATGAATATTGAATGATGACTTCATCATGCATAATATTGATCCTTGCCCTCCTATTTTGATCTTGAACCAAGTGAATCTGGTTATTATTTAATTTGCTTGTTTGTTTGTTGTTTATCTATCCACGGGATAGGATGACAAGTGTCCAAGTCAGCGAGCCTGACCACCCAATCCCGATATTATTTAACAGATATATCATTCTAATATCTTGTTCTTTTAGTTGTTACTTTTAATGAATTTGTTTAAAACAAAAATAATAACACGTGTAGCACTTTGCGTATTACCATTAGTTTTTACACATGTATCAATTTAACGAATCACCATTTGAGATTTAACAATCAACTACCGTGACATTAAGGCATTCTGCGTCTGGCAATCTCAATCTCAAAAACAACATTTGACATACAATAAAATAACAACAAATGTTACATTTGGGATAACACTTTCTAAGTAAAGTACAGATTTTTGTACTTTTTTGGGTTGAGTCCCATTTGGGATTTGAACCCAAACTGCCAGAGTGAGGCACCTAATCACCAGCACACAAAGTCAGCGATTTAACCCACTCAGTCTGCAAGGCTTCTACAAAAATGAAAGTCTGACAACTGGTAGTCTAGACCACATACTTTGTGTACCCCTAAATGCCATTCACAAGTCCAAGCATGACATTAATAATATATGTAACTATTCCTGACTACCAAACAACCGTTGCTGTAAAAAATGAGTCAGTGCGACCTTCTGGTCCCTAAAACACACGATTTTGCCGAAGTAATATAAACAACATTGAATGAAATTTTACATAAAATCAATGAAATAGATTAAAAACATCTAGACGGATAGATATAAGTGGAACACTCTTTACAACCAGAGAGTGTAATGACAAGATAATCCACACGTTCACAGACAAGTCGTGACAGAAAGTTTTGTCTGCCTGAATGTAAAAAAGGTAAAGATTTACTTGTCCTGCCTGACAGACAAAGGGATTTTTGAACCCCTGTCAAATAATCAATAACAAATATAAAAAAATATAATGTTTATCAACATTGTAAAAAACAAAATTTTGATCAAACTTATTATTAAATAACAAACCCGTATTCGACCCAATAAGCGCCCAGGGCGCTTAAAATAAAGACAGAAGGGGTGGGCGCTTATTGGGACCAATTCAGAGTCAAATTGGCGTAAATTCATCAGTAGGCCTTACCGTATTTTCTTGAGTATAGTGCGCACATTTTCTCTCCAAAAAACACAGCTGTGTAGAAGGGGGTGCGCATTATACACGAATTAATGAGTTTTGATGTTTTTTCCCCCATGGAAAGACATTACTGTGAGCACGTAACACCGGAAATACCATGTCAACAAATCCATACTGAAGTTCGCAAATTATTCATGTAATTACACTGTCTGGCTATAAAAAGTGTTCTTTGTTCATCTTGACTTATGTTTGTAACTTATTTCAGTAATTTTATTCAAAATTTCTTTTAACATTGTTTTAATTAATTTCGGCAAAATCGTGTGTGAAGCGATCGGAAGATCGCACAACTCACTGTTGTTAACAGCAACCAAGGTCAGATTACCGCTATTGACACCTTGAAACGAAATTTAGTTGACAGAGAATGGATACATATATCATAAATGCCATACTTTGATTCGTTAAAAGTCATATTTGTTTTTGTTGGATGATTCTATGTCAACACGTAATTCTCGCGATCACGCGATCACACGATCACGTGCACGGGAGCCTTGAAGGTGACTGGTCAGACTGGTTCCATGTAAAAAGTAATACCCGGCAATAGTGATCAGCTGCTTCGCTTAGGGTTATTATTATTTTAAATATGTTTAGTAAAAGCTGAATCTAAATTAACAATATATTGGAATATATTATTCCTGATAAAAAAATAGTTTCAGATACAACTTTTGCCGATCCTTGCATTTAAAATCCTGTAAAGTCATATCATTGGGTGTGTCTTGACCGAATCACCGGTAGATTCCAAGAAAACGTGTGTTCAGCTGAATACTGTGTCCAGCTTAGTTTCCGAGAAAATACACAAGTTAATCTTAATCCCTGGATATAAAACAATGCCTAGCTGAACAAAAAATACAATTTAAACGGTAAGTCAACATGTCTGGTGATTTTTTATCTCAAATTTCGAATTTGTACTGACAAATTTCTCATCACCCATTTGTTTGCCGGACTTCGCTGAAGGGGTACGGTGTAATTTTTTCAGTGCATAATATTCAAAGTCACAAATATCTAAAATAAACAGAATACAGTCATGCCCCACTTATACAGACTTCAAATATCCGGAAACATCGGTTCCCGGACGATTTTCATTTAAAACGAAATAATTAGTACCGTATTCGACGTAATAAGCGCCCCGCTCTAATAAGTGCCCACGGCGATATTTGTTCATATACTGGCTAGTGAACAAATCTAATGAGCATCCCTTCCGATTGATAAATGTACACAAGGCTATTTATTCGTGCATAATATGTTTGTTATATGCACCCTTAATTATGGGCAATTAAATTCTGGAAAAAATATATCTGTCGTTCATAAACATTTCAGCATAAACCACGAAATTTACGCTCTTTGAACTCTGTTGTTTTTCACCAAAAAAATATTCTTATAAGAGCCCCCTATTTCTAATTTTGAGAGCGCCCTGGGTGCCTATTATGTCGAATACGGTATATAAATTTTCGGAACCGGACGGGGCGCTTATATTGGGACATGGGCGCTTATTGGGTCGAATAAGGTAATAGCCATTTCGCTAAGCCCAATGGCATGTTTTTCTTCAAGTTGAGAATGAGTAGGAAATTAAAAAGCGTTTCATATGCAGTGAAAATATTTCCGGGATCCAATTCCATTTAACAATATTTTTCAACCAATCAGATTTTTTTGCAGCATTAACAATAACACCTTTAATAACATACCTGGCTCCTGTGACTATGTCGCCATTGGGTAGCGTGCACACTGACCAGACTGACTGTGTGGGGTGGGGAATGGTCTGGGCACTCTCTGGTCCGCGCCACACCTTCACTGTGCGGTCCTCACTACTGGTCACAAAGTCCTGGCCGTTGGGCAGCAGAGCGACGCTATATACATAGTTGGCATGGCCGTAGTAGGTGGCGACACAGTCGCCGGTCAGCAGCCAACGTTTGACCGTTGCATCGTTAGAGCAGGACAGAAACTCACCACCGTTCATGACCGCTAAACCTCGAACACAGTCTTCATGGCCTGAAAACAATCATGCATCTCAGTTGATAAAATGACTGAAACAAATATGCCATCCCACTTTTGATGGTGATAGGTTCTAACACCGTTATCAATCAAGTGATCACTTGCTTGATAACGGTGTTAGAACCTACACCAAAACATTGCTCCTAATTGTTTGTTTGTTTGTTTATTTGTAATTCAGCGCCCCACTCAGTAATATTCCATCTATATGACTGTGGTCTCTAAATAATCCAGTCTGGACTAGACAATCCAGTGATTGACATCATGAGCATCGATCCACGCAATTCGGATCGATGACATGCAACAACCAAGTAGGCGAGCCTGACCACCCGATCCCGTTAGTAGCCTCTTACGACAAGCATAGTCGCTCTTTAGGGCAAGCATGGGTTGCTGAAGACCTATTCTACCCCGCTCCTAATTATGATAAAGAAGTTGTTCATCCATATATTTTATCATTACTTATACTGAGATAGGAGGATTAATGACAATTTCTAACATTTCGAAAACATCCAATGCTAATTTCTTTTCATATTTCAAGAGTAACAGCACCACTCATGTTGTAGACAGTTAGTTTAAAATACCTACAATTAGCAAGTCATCACTGAACTAAAGGTAAATATGTCATCAATCACTAATTTAACATCTGGCCAAGAAAATCTTCCTCAACCAATACCTGACCTCGGCAGTGCAACCTTCGACAGATGTTGGGGTCTCGTGACGACACGAAGCAAGATATTTACATTAGGGGGAGATACTCTCCACATATCGGTCAATCTGGACATTATGAAATATAACAAACCCAATTCTAATCTCCTGGCTGTGGTGAATGATGAGTTCGATGAGAAATAAATGATGAGTTGGAGTTGTTTATCGTACAAAAAACACTGCAGGAAGAAACCACGAGGGGTACACCATGAGGGGCAGAATACGAGAAACAATGACAAGTTGTTTATTTTTATTATGAGATGTCATAATCATGTACAGCCGCTTTAAGGATGATGATGAAATGTACAAGGTTTACAAATATATACCCTTGTTTGATTAATGATGACTCCCTCAATAGAATCCGACCATGGCAATGTCGGGCAAGTCCATTTCATGAACAGGTGGGTATTTCCAACATATTCTCACAATCCTTATGCCGATTATCTGTACCATTTGTCCGAAAACCTATTGTCATGTCTCTCCCACTTTTGGATGCAATCGTTCGGCCATTGCGTTCATCTGCGTTGAACAGCTACATCTATGGGGAACAACTCACGAGACGCTCCCCTCTAAAAAATAACATCGTCCAATATACAATATCATCAAGTAGTGAGCGCATGTTCGAATCTCCAGAAATGAAGTCATGATAGAACAATGTTTTATCGTGAAATGAACCACGCTTCATTCCTGGTTCTTTGTGATTTATTGCATAGCTATCTCATATGACGAAATAATCTTGACATACACACCATGGAAAGTTTTTTCACATTTCCCAGCCTTCCAGAGTTTGATGGACTTGTCTGCAGAGCCAGTCAGCATCATTCCATGTTCCGAGATGACCGCCACTGCCCACACGGCTGCCTCGTGACCTGCACACAGACGCACTTCGGTAACTAAACACGCTTCACACACCACTCACACTTGGAAACAAATATTCTGGTGTAATATACATATAACTCAGCTGTACATACTCAGAAAGAAAAGAAATTTCAATAATTGTGACCACCCATGAGATAAGGGACCTTATGGGTGAAACAACACATTTTGACTCCTCATTATATTCTAAAACTACAGTATCCAAGAAACACCAAAATACAATTCACAAGCTTCAGTTTATATTTATTTTCAGACTTATAACTAAGTTTATGTAATAACTGCAGTTTCTAGATATGTCTGATTAATTGACACGTCTGCTGAAAATTGAAATGTTTTAAAATATTGTTTTTATTGCATTACGAACTAACGAGAGAGAACAGTCCGCACACATGGCCATATTTTACGGAAGTAAGTTGACCTCAAACCTCCCTCTTTATGATGTCAGAACACAATTGTTTCCAAGCATCCATAATGTCCCTGTTCTCCTGGTTGGTCACAATTATCAAAGCAATCACAAGCAATGATAATGGAAAACTTGAATCTGTTTAAATATGGACACATTCCTCAAACAGAAATTCAGAAGGCAAATTTTCCACACAAACAGGGTTTCACTATAGCTAGAGATCATTACCTACAACCTGCTAAAGTGAGTGAGGGAGTATGGTTTTACGCCGTTTTTAGCAATATTCCAGGAATATCACGGCAGGTGACACCACAAACGGGTTTCACACATTGTGCCAATGTGGGGAATGAAATCTGGGTCTTTTACATGACGAGCAAACACTTTAACCAGGAGGCTAGCCCACAGCCCTGATGACAAAAGTATCAGAAAACATTCTAACCAGCATTTTAAATCTGCTGAGACAAAATACACAAACCTCTGACATCCTTCCCGTCGTTCATGAAGTTTCATTCCTTGTGAGCAAACAACTAGCTTATGATTCTTTTCCGCAGAAGAACACCACTTTAATATTTCAACTTTTCGAAAAACAAAAGTCTTCAACAACAACAAAATTCTCCATAGAAAATGGTGTTGCAAGGCACATAAAGGATTATATGAACAAAACATTTCAAACAAGACAATAGTTTGTCATGGACGGGTTATCAATACCGTAAATAGAAACCAGCAGTGTAAAGTAAGAACATTTATAGATGGTATCTGGAATTGTTAAACATCAAATTCTGTTTCTTGGCTCACCCAATCTAATTAAAATCAGATCTTAGTTCTCGCTACCGCTAAACAAAGATCTCAGGAAATGATAAGAAGAACATTCTGGAATGGCTTATAGATGGCATAGATTGTATGGATATAATCATAAAACCTGTAACTGTCGTTCGGAATACCCCGTGTTAAATATATCGTGGTTGCATGATTAGAAAACACATTCCGACGGTCACTTTCAGGATCTGGTAAGCGACGCTCTGATTGGTTGGATGAAAGGTCGTTCTGACGTGACCCCTAATGGGATGTCCTCAGATCTTTGTTTAGCAATAGCGAGAACTAAGATCTGATTTTAATGAGATTGCTGGCTCACCATGCTCACAGGACCATGCAATTAATATTCAATACAAACAAACTCACAGACAAGGCCTTTGAGTTACATGGTTTGTGTCTGACAGTTCGTTAGTCTAGAATATTAGTTACATGGTCCTGTCCTTTTCTGGTCTAATTTTCACACATGTCCAGTTTATCATGTTAATTGTACAGTTTACCCTTTGAATCAATAACATGATCTGGTAATGGCAGATGATGCAGTCTCCGATCGGTAAACCAGTGCTGTTCTCACCTTCTAGAGTCATCACACATTTCTGTTTGAGCCAGACTTTGGCAGTCTTGTCCCAGGAGCCACTGAGAAGGAAGCCAAACTTTCCTGAGGCAACAGCACACACTGCAACAAGAGTTTTGGCAGGTTTACGGGCATTCTGGACATTTGATTCCAATATTAAACAATCTGCATGTAATACATAGAGAATCTCGCTTCGTGTCTTTTGATATCAAATACAGTAAACTACAGTTATAACAAACTCAAAGGGACCACTAATTTTAGATCATAATAACCGTAGTTTGTTATAGTGAGTGAGTGAGTGAGTATGGTTTAACGCCGCTTTTAGCAATATTCCAGCAATATCATGGCAGGGGACACCAGAAATGGGGTACACACATTGTACCAATGTCGGGAATCAAACCCGGGTGTTCGGCGTGACAAGCGAACGCTTTAACCACTAGGCTACCCGACCGCCCCGTTGTTTGTTATAAGCATATATACAGCATATGTGCAACAAACGGCCAGGACAAAAAATAGGTTCTTTGTATCGGTCAGTTCGTTATAAGCGTGTTTGTTAGAATGTTGAATATTGATAAGTAAATAAAGTTTGAAAAGCTGAGGAGTGTTGAAATATTTGATGTCAAAAGACATGATGCTGAGATTCTATTTATTATCTTTTCAGTTTGTAAACAGTAATAACCAGTGTCTAGAGTGTAAAATGAACAGCTAACCAGCTTCAGTGGCAAAGAGATGTGTGATGTCATTTTATTTCCCGCAGAAGACAGGTTTTGACAATAAAAACATGTACAACATTCCCCATGAGTAGTGTATATTTCACTCCCAGGCAAACAGTGACAGTGATAGTGGGGAAGCCGAGTTAGAGATGATGAAGCCGAGTTAGAGATGATTAAGCCGAGTTAGAGACGATGAAGTTAGAGTTGAGTTAGAGAAATACGGTAAATCAACATGTCTGGTGATTTTTTTATCTCAAATTTCCAATTTGTACTGACAAAGTTTCTCATCACCCGTTCGTTTGCCGGACTTCGCTGAGGGGTACTGTGTAATTTTTTTCTGCGCATAATATTCAAATTTCTTTTTTTCCAAAATATTGAATCAGCGAGAGGGGTGTGCGCATTATACATTGGTGCGCCCTATAGTCAAGAAAATACCGTAAGCCAAGGGAGAGACGTTGAAGCCGAAATTAGAGTTAGAGACAATTAAGCCGAGTTAGAGAAGATTAAGCCAAGGGAGAGACGTTGAAGCCGAAATTAGAGTTAGAGACAATTAAGCCGAGTTAGAGAAGATTAAGCCAAGGGAGAGACGTTGAAGCCGAAATTAGAGTTAGAGACAATTAAGCCGAGTTAGAGAAGATTAAGCCAAGGGAGAGACGATGAAGCCGAGTTAGTGATGATGAAGCCGAGTTAGAGACGTTGAAGCGGAGTTTGAGAAGATTAAGCCAAGTTAGAGACGTTGAAGCTGAGTTAGAGACGTTGAAGCCGAGTTACAGACGATGAAGCCGAGTTACAGACGATGGAGCCCGTCAGATGATCTTCACTGGATCGATTTTTTAGCAACTTGAGCTTGTCCACAATCCACGGAAGCATATCTGTCGACGTTGTCAAAACTTCCTGTCTAAGAAATAAGGGAGGCTTGACTACTAGTGGCTATGTCTGGCTGTGCTGTTGTAGCATCTAGAGAGGGGAAGAGTAGCGGCCGGAGGAACATCTTGAGTATAAACCGAAGAACCCGTCGTGGTGTCCCAAGGAGGTATGGTCTGCTGGCCAGTCCTATGTTGGAACGTCGTAGTCACGGTCTGCAGAAGTGATTCAAACTCTGTGGATGAGAGGACAGGTTGATCCTGATGATACCATGATGGAGGTAAGGGTGGATCTATTCTAATAGGCATCCACAGGTTGGGGCCATTGTACAGTCAGGCGATGGAGTATGGGCTCGTGATCTGCTTCCAGACTGTCGAACCTGATGGCTGACAACAGGGGAGGTGCCTCAAGGGTGTAAGGAATGGTGATGTCAATCCGGGTATCGATGTCGATCCGGGTATTGATGTCAATCCAGGTATCGATGTCGATCTGGGTATTGATGTCAATCCGGGTATCGACGTCGACCCGGGTCGATCTTGGTGTCACTCCCTTTGAGGTGTATATTGGTAATATTCAGGCATAGAGAGGGAATCAATGATGATCTGCGTCATGGTCAGGAGATGCATATGGGAAGAAGCACATGTGCCGATATTAATCCGCTGGGGAGAGGTATTGATGCCTATCCCGGCTGTGATGTCAATCCCTGTAGTCGCTGTGTCGAAGTCGATGTTCAGATGAGTGTCGATATACATGCTGCTGTGAATCCGAATCTGAGAAACAAGATCTATACTTGTATTGATTGTATTGATCCGAGTGGGATTGACATTCCTCATCCCTCTGTCATTGGTATCTTTCTGCGACTGCCCACACTTCTTGGATCGATGTCGCTTCTTCGAGTGTCACTGTAGATCAGTTTTGGCAGGGCGTCTTCGATCTCTTCAATCCTTGTAGTGATGGGGAGCGAGAGATAGATACATCGATTTTCTTAGGTGGTGGCTGTTGCTGAGGTGTCTGGGGTGCGACTGTATTAGGTGACTGGTGGCAACTTCGGCAACCACTTGGACATCCCACGGAGAAGCGAGGGATGACGGGCGACTCACAGCTGAGGATCTGGCTACACTGGGAGGGTTGTCGGCAGTGATCATCGTAACTACTAACGGGATGCTGTCCTTGGCCAGTAGGTTGAGGAACCACCGGGGTATCAACAGGCGCATGGGGATCCTCAACTTGAGAAACATTTTGAAAGTCAGATTTGAAAGGTATCCCTCAAATTGCTAATGACCTGAAATGATCTGTTATATACCGGTACTTATCATCCAAAACTGGCTCCCACAGGAGATATCGCTTGGGTGAGATCAAACGATATCTACACTGTTGATATCGCTGCAATAAAATTGCATCACAATGCTTTGCAGACCATTGTGACATCATTGGTTACTATGACGTCACAATCAAATGACATCACTAATGGCTCTGCTATTGAAGCTGTTAGCAGTACTTTTTACACTAAAGACACTGCTTATTACTGTCTACAGACTGAAAAAGTTGGAAGAATGATGTTGGATGATATATAAAATCTCACCCGAGTGTCTTTTGATATCAAATATATCAACACTCGTTGATAAAAGTGGAAAAAATCCTCGGCAAGCCTCAGAGTTTTCCCATTTCATCAACTCGAGTTGATATATTTGATATCAAAAGACAGTCAGGTGAGATTTTATATATCATTTCATCAGTACATGGCTTGACGGATGCTTGACAGATGTTTGACAGATGCTTGACATGGACTCACTCACCAGTGCCAGTGTGGCCAGTAAGCTTGAAGACTGGTTGTGGGGACTCCAGAGTGAAAGCCAGGATGGTGTTGTCGTTGCTGCCGGTGATGATTAGACCATTAGGGTACGAGTCATCAGGGGGGACCACACACACACTGGCCACGAAGTTGCTATGGCCACTCATCACATGTCCTTCTGTAAAACTGGGATTGTGTCTGCAACATCAAAAGCAGCTTAAAATATCATGTATAATTATTTGTATTAACATGATTAATAAGAAAAACCTCTTCCTGAGGCAAGAGCGTCCACTAGCCTTATTATCAAAGTCTTGTTTCCACCCTTGCCACATCAAGCCCACTTTCCTGTGCTTAATATGATTGGACTATCACACATATCGACAGTCCAATCAGAGAACGTTTCACAAAACCAACATACACGACTGGCACACCTCCGTATGAAAGTGATTTGCCGCTGTCTGTCTTTGTTCACACGACTATGTCTTTTTCATCTCTTAAAACCCCCAAAGATTGCCTATGTGTTTGTGTCACGGATCAAATCCCGAATGTTTTCGTTATTTCATCGACCAGGTCATTGCCTTTGGTAGTTGCCATCTTTGTGAAGCTACACGAGCTAAGAACAGCGATCTGATTGGATATCACGTTTCATTTCAAGGGGCAGAACGCTGATCTACGAGGTGGCGCCAGGGTCGAGCCAAGAAATGGGGCCTTGATGTGGCAAGGGTAGAAACTAGCCTTTGATATAGGCTAGTGGACACGCTTGCCTCGGGAAGATGGAAGAAAAATAGAATGAAGGTTTTGTCAGACTGTTACCCCAGCAATAAATAGGTATTACATTTCATAGAATACCATTTCATACAGATATGGTTTATCATGTGGCTCAAAAACAATGAAACCATCGTCTACACTGGTGTTGAGAACTGGCACAATTTTCCAGGATGACCTTGTTTTGAATAAGCAAGTAATGATAGATTATAATCATTAATCATTATAATTTGAATATACATTGCTTCACAATTACTTTAGAGTATTCATTCTCAATATTCTCCCACACCAATAAATGTCAATATTCATTATTCATGTCGCCATGTGTATAATATCACAAGTAATGATACACATGAAAACATGGGAATTCAAACAAAGATTCAATTTTCATGGAAGAAAAGCCAACCAATCCTTGATGAAATTGATAAGTTGAAACAACATGAAAACCGTTTGCACCATTGAACACTCTTAAAAAGGTATCTGTTCCACAAAGCATTTGACAACATACTCTGACTCATAACCTGTTTATTTGATATGTACCTCACCACTGAGCAACAATTGACAGAAATAGACACAACATAAATTTGTCATCATCATCATCATCATCATCATCATCATCATCATAATTAAACCTGTTAACCATTTATTGCCACAACAAATTTAACAATTCTTGATTATCCAGTGTATCATATCTCCATTCTATGCATATAAATACTCCGGACCCATTTATCACCATACATTAGTTTTGAGCCTGATTAAGAATGGCACAGTCAACATGAAGAGACTACTCTCATGGGTATGAGAAATTCTTCGCTGAGTTACCATATATGTCCACAGATAAGCCAAGTTTGAGGACCAGAAAAAAGATTATATTGAAAGGGGTCAGCTTATCCATAGGATACACTTTCATGATAGTATTTTTCAGATCGTGATCTGTCAGAAACATTGCCTGAATGATGGTCCGATAGACTACAACTTCCTGAAAGTTTTGAAGCTGCCACGACTACAGCCATTATTGTTATAAATTATCAATAGTCTGTTAAATCTTTATTAGAAATTATAATTTCAATATAATTACGTTTTTCATCTGATATTATTGAATATCTGCAAGTATCGGCACAGTCTTGCAGTCGGACTTCCAGTGTGTCATTGCCTTTCACTTCCTCATTTGGCTTATCTACTGTCATATCATGTTCTTTCATATTTCAATGGTCAAGTTAATACCCTGACCTATCTACAGAGTCGGCTTTTCTGCGGTCATATACGGTAGTTACAGATGTTGTACACAGGGTTTAACCTAAGTCTATTTTGGGTCCCAGTCTGTTATGTGGCAAGTTTACTGATACCATTTCATCGCACATACTCAGAAGTCTTTAGACTATCATAGATGGAGATTTTAAAATTAGATAATAGGTTGAGGAAAATCAAGAACTGACACTCTAAACTTTGTGTTTTTCTTACTCGAATTTTAAATTTTAATTCATAAATGTAACATGCTATCTTCAATTTAGATTAGTTTAATAATTTAACAAACAGCCAAATATTTAGAATCCCCAAGGACTTGAACATTATTTGAGTCTATTCAGTGGTATGTTTGCGTGCAAGATATAATATTTTTGGGGATAAACAGATTGGTGTACATATGTCAGTCGACATGTAATACATCAAACAGGTTAATGCTTTACCTTCGAAGCATATGAAATCTTGAAAATTGTGATATTTTGATTATTTTCCAAATTAATCATTTTTGAACTTCAGATATGGTCTCCAGAGTACTTGGTTCTGAGACATTCAAGTGTGTACGAATTGTTTCAGGTAAAAGGCTTAGCAATGAAAGACAGCATTGACTAGTTAAAACTGCTTTGTGAGTTGTTGTGTGAGTTACTTCGCACATCATTGCGTGATGTATGAAGTGTAGCTCCTTTTTGAAACAGATGTAACAACGCGTTCCTTGTGATCGAATACCGAACGTACGTTCAATTGATGTATGTTTACATCATAATTCACTTGGTTTCTTACTCATTCGGAACCCAGATTCTAGATGTGACATCCCTTGACCCAGACACAATTCCTCCTTCTGGGAAGATTGTCGAGGCAACAGCGCGGACATCTTTCTGATGGCCAACGATATTACACCGCAGTTTGTATGTGGACGCCATATTTACTTTGTAGACTCGCAGTTACTACCGGGTTTTGTTTCTACAGGTAGATAATGTTTTTTTTATCTTTAAATATTTTTTTTAAATCTCATGATGTATATCGTGCTTTATATCAGTTTCTCCAATTTATCCAGTGTAGATAATGTTTAGAGGATCCGCTTTGAAAAAAGAGAGTTATGCCCCCTGCGTGCATAGGACCATGTGTAACTATCATAATAACAAACAGACGAGGCTTCGCCCAAGAGTTTTTTTTGTGAATTTGTTTATTATTAGAAGTAGTTACACGGTCCCGTGTGTGGATTCATGTGGCAGGCAAATCGAAAGTGTTGCAGGTCGAAGACGTTTATCGCTTTTGGCATCAAAACCACGGATACCAAACCATTCCTTCCTTTTTTCAATATTGTGATCACAGGATATTAACTGTTTACTTTATTTGTAAAAAGCATAAAAATAGAATCCATGCCAGGTACCCCGTTGGTTCAACCTTATACGATTATCCTGTTAATTCTGTACCAATAGGGCTTACTTCGCATCTTTTATTGTGTAATTCTGAGACGAGATGATCGAAGAGAAATAATAGATCTAACATAATAATGAACAAATATATGAGTAGTGTAAAATGTATAACTTCATGAAAAGAATAGGGAAATCCTCTAAACAAACAGACCAATGAATAGAGAGACGACGGGGTACAATATGGAGCGGGTAAATATTGACGGATGGTTTTTGGAGGATTTAGAACGGGTTATAGCGAAAACGTCACCTCAGCAAAACGTCACCGGTAGCCACCGTAGCCTCTGCTCCAACTATAATCCAACTTAGCTTATACGCAACTCAACGTATGGTGAAAACATAACATGCTTTGACGAAAGATAATAGAAATTAAACTCACATCGTCTCTTACAAACACAAATAATTGTGAAATAAAACAAATAAGAAATTAGCCCCCTACTCCAATTTACTCACCGACTTTTATTCACTATACGCTTTGATGTCAGTTTCCAGTCAGAAGATGCTGAAGAAATGAGAGTACCAAACCTATCTGAAATTCACATTACGGTAGACTAACATATAGTCTCTGAAATGAACATATCATACAGAAAAAACAGTTGTTCAGTTATCTTAATAAAAATCTAATAAAAAGGGAGCCCAGTGATTCTCTTCATTTTCAGGTACTGGTACTGCAGTAATCTAGACTTGCCAAACATTATAGACTTGCATGGGCTGTAGTTGATATAAATGTATCAGGGTCTGTAAGACAGACTAACATTACGGCTTCAGATGTACCCTATACATCAAATACCATGTAAATAAACCATATATATTACCACAAAAATCGTTGTTATCGTTATTAAAAATAGAGGTGCCGTTTTCGCCCGACACATAGTAGCCGTTTTCGCCAAATGCGGTGCCGTTTTCGCCAGAGAAATCGGTGACGTTTTGCTGAGGTGCCGTTTTAGCCTGCACCCATTTAGAACAATGGCCGGATGACCAGCTTCATGAGCGAATATATCAAAGCCGGTGACTTTCCGCTCTGTACACACTTTGAAGTTTATAGGTCACCATGCAGTGTCATGAATGAGACTGGTGATCGTGGTAACCCGAACGTAGCCCTTACCCGCTGTACGTGTAAACAGTCAGTTGTTTATTCATTAGTACGCCCACACGACCTATTGAGTGCTGGTAAAGCTATAGTGAGATAATTTTTTTATATCTTAATCTAAACTTGAGTACATTGGTGCGTATCGTTGACACGGAGTGTATTCACTGTCGTGAATCAGCGACTATTCACCCTCACAGAATGAGTCGACGAGGGACTACAGACCGTACGTAATTCATCAGATCTACAACTGGTTGACGTGATGGTAGAGATGGGAGCGACAGTGGTGCTGGTGGTACTGGGGATGTAAGGAACAGGGGCAACCATTTGTACCGCCCCCTGTTGTACCGTCCCCTGTTGTACCGTTCCCTGTTGTTGTACCGTCCCCTGTTGTACCGCCCCCTGTTGTTGTACCGTCCCCTGTTGATGTACCGTCCCCTGTTGATGTACCGTCCCCTGTTGATGTACCGTTCCCTGTTGTTGTACCGCCCCCTGTTGTTGTACCGTCCCCTGTTGTTGTGCCGCCCCCTGTTGTTGTACCGTCACCTGTTGTTGTACCGTTCCCTGTTGTTGTACCGTCCCCTGTTGTTGTACCGTTCCCTGTTGTTGTACCTTCCCCTGTTGATGTACCGTCCCCTGTTGTTGTACCGTCCCCTGTTGTTGTACCGCCCCGTTGTTGTACCGCCCCCTGTTGTTGTACCGTCCCTTGTTGTTGTACCGTTCCCTATTGTTGTACCGTTCCTTGTTGTACCGTCCCCTGTTGTTTTTACCGTCCCCTGTTGTTGTATTGTTCCCTGTTGAAGTACCGTCCCCTGTTGTTGCACCGTTCCCTGTTGTACCGCCCCCTGTTGTTGTACCGTCCCCTGTTGATGTACCGTCCCCTGTTGTACCGTTCCCTGTTGTTGTACCGTCCCCTGTTGTTGTACCGTCCCCTGTTGTTGTACCGTCCCCTGTTGTTGTACCGTTCCCTGTTGTTGTACCGTCTCCTGTTGATGTACCGTTCCCTGTTGTACCGCCCCCTGTTGTTGTACCGTCCCCTGTTGATGTACCGTCCCCTGTTGTACCGTTCCCTGTTGTTGTACCGTCCCCTGTTGATGTACCGTTCCCTGTTGTACCGTTCCCTGTTGTTGTACCGTCACCTGTTGTTGTACCGTTCCCTGTTGTTGTACCGTCCCCTGTTGTTGTACCGTCCCCTGTTGTTGTACCGCCCCGTTGTTGTACCGCCCCCTGTTGTTGTACCGTCCCTTGTTGTTGTACCGTTCCCTATTGTTGTACCGTTCCTTGTTGTACCGTCCCCTGTTGTTTTTACCGTCCCCTGTTGTTGTATTGTTCCCTGTTGAAGTACCGTCCCCTGTTGTTGCACCGTTCCCTGTTGTACCGCCCCCTGTTGTTGTACCGTCCCCTGTTGATGTACCGTTCCCTGTTGTTGTACCGTCCCCTGTTGTTGTACCGTCCCCTGTTGTACCGTCAACTATGATATCCAGTTATCTAAATATATAAGATAAATACTCGATAAATCACAAAGAACAGTGATGAACGAACGTTGTTCTATCATGACGTCATTTCTGGAGAATCGAATATGCACTCGCAACTTGATGACGTCATATATAGAGAATACTACACTCATTCTCGTTAGATAGCATTTTTACGAAAAGAGTGGACTTTCTATGGTATCTGACCGAGCGAAAGTGTCGAAAGGGACACTGGTGACACAACCGGAGCATCCAACGTAAGCCCAGATATATATCCAAGATAGTTAAAACTGACTTCATTTCACCACGCTTATCCTTTTATGTTAAAGCAAACTGAAAGTCGAGAAAGTGGTTGGGTGCGTCACACTCATGGGGACCCTCGATCTATTGATGGGTAGTAGTACATTGCAAATGGATACAGCTCGATTATATAATGCCTGTAGTAGCTCTGTGCATAACTAATACACATTGCAAAGCGAAGTTGATGCGTGTGACTATCTTGTTTGGTTAGTAAAGTGTGTGTAAATGTCTCTCGCTTTCATGAGATTGCTTCAGTTCTGCCTTGTAGTTGCAAATAGAATGACGTCTCGCCATTTTTTTAATGAATGAATAAAGTAGTTCCGGTGTGACAGAGGTCACGTTTATCCAATCAAAACGAATAAAAGAGGTAAACCTTGTACCATACACGTGTGACGTACGGATTTTGTATCTTACCACCTGTATCTTCACCACGTGGGTAATGAATTGATATATTGGACGACGTTATTTTTTAGAGGGAAGATCTAGAAAGTTGTTCCCCATAGATGTAGAGGGGGTACGTAGATAAACGAAGTGGCCGAACGATCGCATCCCAAAGTGGGAGAGATATGACAATCGGTATTGGGAGAAAAAGTCAGATAATCGACGTGAGAGTTGTGAGAATATGCGGGAGATACCAAACTGAACCCACCTGTTCGTAAAATGGACTTGTCCGACGTACATTCCCGGGGTCGGATTCTGTTCAGAGGGTCATCTTTATTAAAATTTGGGTTAATATGTGTACATTTTATCAACATCCTTAAAGAGGCTGTTCATAATGTTGACATCTCATGTGGGAAATAAATGACTCGTGGTTGTTTGTCGTACAATAAAACACCGCAGGGAGAATAAACCACTCGGGAGTGCGCCCCTCATAGTTTATTCTCCCTGCACACCGCCTCCGTGGTCTAGTGGTAGAGCGACCGCGTCATACCAAAAGACGTTAAAAGATGGTACTTGTTGTTACCCTGTCTGGCGCTCGGCATTAAGGGGCTACAATATGGACTGGTCGGCTCGGAGTCAGTATACTGTGTCTGAGTGGGGTATTCATGTTAAACTGCGGCATGGTATCTTAGTGAGCTAGCACTATAAATCGGCATCAGTCCGGACTAGTACAAGCAGCCACACAAACACACACACGTACATGCACGTCGCTATATAAGTGCAATAATCTTGGACGCGACGTTAAACCCCATTTCACCTTACCTTATTCTCCCTCCAGTGTTTTATTGTACGATAAACAACTCCCTCTCGGCGTTTATTTCTCAAATAAATCCAGCTACCAGTATTGCGTTTAAACAATCACATGGGATTGTCATATAGATTGAATATTGCTGAGTGCGTCGGTAAACAACAAACAAACAAAATATGGGATTAATTAAGGAGTATGTCTTTGAGTCAACTATCACTACGTTCAGGTCTTCTTCACAATCATTGGATGAATTCATTACTGCTCTCTTTGGTAAAAGAAGTATTCTATATTTACAGCAAAAGAATTCCCTTCATTGTCACGATGCTTGTCAGTTGTTGTTATCTATGCTCATTTTCTGTCGACCCGTGAAGATCCGGATTAGAATAAGTCTTCAGCAACCCATGATCGCAGTAAAAGGCGAGTATAGACTATACACTTGTCGTAAAAGGCGACTAACGGGATCGGGTGGTCTGGCTCGCTGACTTTGTTGATGCATGTCATCGTATCCCAATTGCGTGGATCGATGCTCGTGATGTCAATCACTGGATTGTCTGGTCCACACTCGATTATTTACAGACCGCCGTCATATAGCTTGAATATTGCTGAGTGCGGCGTTAAACAACAAACAAATAAACAAACATTTTCTGTCACCGTTTTCACAGTCACCGGGTACCTCACGTCAGCAAGTTATATAATGTGTTATTGAACTCGCCACTATAACTCGCTGTTAGCCGAGACAGGACACACACACATATCAATCGTACTACTTGTCGCGGTCCACCCGCTACCCCTTTCTTCACAATGGTACGCGCTAGTTTGGCGGACCTCGTACATACGGGGTTAATTGTCAGGTCACAACTCAACTCAACTTATCCTGGCTTTCCATTAGTTTCAATTCAATTCCTGTTTTGCATCTTACACCATTATGCGATTACCTCCCTTACAAACTGAATTTGATAAACACGGTTATTTCACAGTAAATGATCGTAGCAGCCTATTCAGGCCACGTGGTCGCCGAGCGAAGCTTTGCAATTGACGCCCCTCTCCCATTATTGTGGTAAACTTTCTAACAAATATCTTGCATTTCAGGGTTTTAATTAAACTAAACTAAACAAATAACTATATATCGGAGAGTTTAAGCTATGTAGACAATTGTTTAAAAAAGAGAGTAGAAATGCATGTACTTTATATCCAATTACCCATCAGTTCCAAGGACGTTTTCGAAAACTATTACAAGTGGACCACGGCATAATGAAATCATAGTTGTATATAACGCCCACAGCCACATAGCGTTATATAATTATTACAGAGAATTAGAGAACAATCGCACTTGAAGAGCCAAGTGACTCTTTCCTTGTTAAATGATATATTACATACTTTCCGTTTTGCTTTTGAGTAAATGATGTTTCGGGCTATTGTTTAGACCACTGTTAACGGGTGTGACCTACAAAAGCAAAATGGTGCCGCAAATTTTTTTTTTAAAATCGAAATTTCAATTGTTTGTATGTTTTCACGAAATTTCGATTTTTTTCTCGTTACTTCGATTGTATTTTCGCAATTTCAGTTATTTCTCGTTACTTGGAGTTTGTTTCTCATTACTTTGAATATTTTCTTGTTATTTCAAGTGTATTTAAAAAATTCGATTATTTGGCGTTATTTCGATTATTTCCTCGTTGCCTCGACTTTTTAAAATAAACTTGAAATAACGATAAATAATCGAAAATGCGAGAAAATCGAGATAACAATAATTGAAATACCGAGCAATTTCGATTAAGGAAAAATATAATTATGCTACCTAAGTGACACCACTTGGCTTTCGTGGTGACCAGCTGTAGTTGTATCAATACACAATGCCTTTTTAGAAAGTGGTAAAAAAAAGTACTAGAATTTGTACTTCACTAAGAATGGGTGAGTGAGTATGGTTTTACGATGCTTTTAGCAATATTTCAGCAATATCACGTCGGGGAACACCAGAAATGGGCTTCACACATTGTACACATGTCGGGAATCGAACCCAGGTCTTCGGAGTGACGAGCGAAAGCTTTAACAACCAGACTACCCGACCGCCCCACTTCACAAAGAAAGTGTTTTACCGAATATAACATTTGTTAAAGTATATGTAGAATGTGAAATTTGATATTTCTTCTCATGAAACGCTGTAAAATGAAGAAAGTTTAAAACATTTGTTGGTGTTAGAAACATGTTTAAATCATATTGTTTAGAATCAGCGTCGGTTCTAAATACGCCCTTCCGTGTGACATAATCCATTTCTTGGATGCAGACACAACCCGCGAGGATCTGGGGTTGAGTAGGTCTTCAGCAATCCATGCTTGCAGTAAAAGGCGACTGTGCTTGTCGTAAGAGGCGACTAACGGGATCGGGACTTGGTTGATGCATGTCATCGTATCCCAGTTGCATGGATTGATGCTCATGATATCAATCACTGGATTGTCTGATCAAGACTCGATTATTTACAGACCGCAGTCATAGAGCTTGAATATTGCTGAGTGCGGCGTTAAACAACAAAGAAAGAAACAAACAAAGAGGATGCAGACACAAGCGTCGTGACAACGGCCCTGCAAGACCCCACTGCCTGCAGAACACAAGGCGGTGTGTGTAATGATGGCTCCGTATTGATTGACAGGTTAAGATGGAAAATAGTATATCTATCTACACATTACACTTCCTGTATAACAATTTTTTGTTGTAAAATCCGACTAATTATGCAAACTCATGTGACATTCTGATTATTAGTGACGGAATAAGGTATCAGGTAATCATATTCCGTAAGTTCCTATATTAAAGGCCCCTTGGGTAGCCCTCTGGTTACAGCGTCCTCTCGTAACGCCTGAGTTCTATTCTCCACATGGGAACAACGCCCATGTCTTGTTTTCCAGCCGGGATATTACTGACGTATTGCAAAACGCGGCGTAAAAACATACTCGCCCACTTATATACGTCTTCCCGATGCAAGAGCGTCCACTAGATTTTTTATCAAAGTCTGATTTCCACCCTTGCCACATCAAGCCCACATTCCTGTGCTAAATATGATTGGAATATCGCACATGTCGAGTCCAATCAGAGAACGTTTCACATCCACGACTGGTTCACCTTCGTATAAAAGTGATTTACCGCTGCCTGTCTTTGTTGACAAGTCTTTTTCTTCTTTAAACCCCCAAACGATTGCCTCTGTTTTTGTGGTCAGGGATGAAATCGCGAATGTTTTCGTTATCTGATCGACTAGGTCGTCAAGTATGGTAGTGAAAAAAACAGCGATCTGATTTGATATCGCGTTTTCATTACAAGGGGCACAACTCGTGATCTACGCGAGGAGGCGCCAGGGTCGAGCCAAGAAAAGTGGCCTTGATGTGGCAAGGGTAGAGACTAGGCTTTGATATAGGCTAGTGGACACGCTTGCCTTGGGAAGATGGCATATATAGAGAAAAAAACACCTTATTAAATTATTAAATTAAATTACGCATTTATATAGCGCTACTTATCCAGACAACTGCCTGCTCAAGAGCGCTCAGTCGTATGCTCTTTTGAAGAGGATGGTCTTGAGTTTTGATCTAAAGGTGTTGACCTCTTCAGATCCCCTGACATCAATTGGCAGTGCATTCCATAGAGTTGCACCTGCTTTTCGGAAGGTTCTGTCGCCATATGTTGTTCTGCTGGTTGGTGGAACAACAAGCTGTAGTTTGTTTGCAGATCTCAGTGTTCGGCCAGGTTGGTAAAGGGCAGTGAGTTCCTGGAGGTATACTGGGGATAACCCATGGATCGATTTGTAGACAAACATGATCAGCTTGAACACGATCCTTAGTCTCACAGGTAGCCAGTGCAGCTCTTTCAGGACGGGTGTAATGTGTTCACGCATTGACTTCCGTGTGATGAGTCTGGCAGCAGTGTTTTGCACACGCTATAGTCTATCCAGATGCTGCTCCTGGGTACCATACAGAAGACTATTACAATAGTCAAGTCTTGATGTTACAAATGCATGGACTAGGCACTTGACTGATGCTGTGTCTACGTATCTTGCTATCTGTCTGATGTTCCTGATGTGAAAGTAAGCTGTCTTGCACATACTGCTTACATGGTTATCCATACTGAGTGTTGAGTCAATGATCACGCCTAGATTTCGGGCACAAGAGTTTTGCTCAACCGTACAGTCCCCAATTTTCAAACCAGGAAATCGTACTTTGGACTGCATCTGTTTAGAGCTGATGATCAAGAGCTCAGTATCTCCTACTGGTATGGTGTAGATGGTGAAAAGTATTGGGCCAAGGACAGAGCCTTGAGGCACCTAAAACATATTCACGATTGTTTGGAATATGCTGTAATTTGAATATTTTTTTTCCGCCCGTGTTTTCTGTTATACTGCATGTGTATGTTAAAAAGTCAATTCTAATAAATATATACATCAACAATAATGACTTCACAGACTTCACAAAACAGTAGTTCGAGACAGTAGTTCGAAATCAATAAGATCGTTCAATGCAATGAAACACAAGCTCAGCTCATTCCATCATCAGTCGACCGCCTCCGTGGTCTTGTGGTAGAGCGTCCGCCCAGGGAGCGGAAGATCCGGGGTTCGATCCCCGGCCGCGTCATACCAAAAGATGTGAAAAGATGGTATTTTTTGTCACGAATGTGGCGCTCGGCATATAGGGGCGAAAACAAGGACTGGTCGGCTCGGAGTCTGAGTGGGGTATTCATGTTAACCTGCCGCATGGTATCTCAGTGAGCTAGCACTATAAATCAGCATTTGTCTGGACTAGTACAAGCAGCCACACACTCACGTACATGCACGTCGCTATATAAGTGCAATAATCTTGGACGCGACGTTAAACCCAATTTCACCTCACCACGCCTTCAGGGTACGTACTTGCAAATCAACCTAGTCACCGAGTCTGACCACACAATCCACTTAGTTGCCTTTTAAGACAAATGTGTCAAATATTACTTCCGCCTGTCTTTGTTTGACCAGTACAAGCAGCCACACACACGTGCATGCACGTCGCTATATAAGTGCAATAATCTTGGACGCGACTTTGAACCAAATTTCACCTCACCGCCATTATCAGTCGATCAATAGTCCGTTAGTGGGTGTGTCTCTTTTTAGGTTAAGGAGAGAAACGCCAAAAAAGCTTGGTTAGCCAATCAAATGGCACGGAATCACTTGCAATCTTTTTTATTTACTCTTAAACTCATTAATCCGGACCCGATAGTCCGGAACTTGTCTATCTGGACGTTTACTCCATGGATGTTATCATACATGTACATGTATACACAGAGTACATTACTTCGTAACAACGTTTCGGTCATCAGGACATATGTTAATACGGACGATTTCCCGAGGATCGGTACGGTTCGCATTAACGGGGTTCCATTGTTCTTATCTACGTTCCTTTCTTTTGTCGTCACAAGAAACATCCCTAGAACATTGCCATTGTTTAGATGTTGCTGTCATCTTTCAAATCCCTTATCCACTTTAATCAGTTATAGTAAGGCACTCGACTCAGCCTACAGCGATAGTTGTCCATCATGTTATTCAGTGCCACGAATGACGGCCGCTTCTCTGGGACCAGATCCCAACATTTTTGCATGACGCCATACCAGAAGTCCTCATCGTAAGGGATCCCGCTTACAGGTTGTGGCATGATTTGCCCACTTGCTATATATGACATCAGGTCCTTTGGGGGTATTTCTGAAGCAAATAATCATCATCATCATAAAGCCATTTTTGATAAATGTGAAATAAGTTCAGGAAGGAAATTATTTTTTCATCGAATCTGTTTCATTTCGGTGTTGGAAAACCATCAAAGTAAACTGCCGGGCAAAAGAAAGTATACCCCATGTTTGGTGGTGGCGAAAGCTCTGACAAACAAGTAAGGGTAATTCGATGGTGATATATCTGATGCGGGTATTACAGTTGTGTTTTAGACTTAAACTTTGCACTGTTTTGGCGACTGTTTTCAGCCAAGTGAGTGAATGAGTGAGTATGGTTTTACGCCGCTTTTAGCAATATTCTAGCAATGTCACGGTGGGGGACACCAGAAATGGACTTCACACATTGTACCCATGTCGGGAATCGAACCCGGGTCTTCGACGTGACGAGCGAACACTTTAACCGCTAGGCTACCTGACCGTCCCTAATCGCCTACGACCATACACTACTTCGAGACAGGGGCACGGGTGGCCCAGTCGTCTAAGGCGCCGCGATTCGCTGTGCAGAGTTGCGTCCCTTGGCCACGCCAGAAACCTATGATTGTGGTTTCCAATCCCGGTTCGCCCCGATTATGTTTCTAGGTTTGTCCGCACCATACCCGTGTTCGCGGGTTTCACGGAAGTGGTAAACGTCTGAGACCTGCATCACTTCGGGCTTTCCTCCAAAAGCTGGCATGCCGTGATATAACTGAAATACTGATAAAAGCGGCGTTACACCCGACTGAATCACTCACTACTTCGAGATAGAGTAGCCACTTTAAACGGACACCCAGTAACCTAACTGGACTTCTCTTCACTCACTAACCTATAAACGGCAGACCTCCAAACGTGATGACCTCATACATGACAACCCCAAACGACCAAACGTCAGACTTGGGGGTGAACTCGCAGCCCTCCTTCAAGCATTCAGGGGCGGTCCAGCGGAGAGCTTGGTTGTCTGTAAGGGTTATGAAATACGCACAAAATATTTACAGCTACACAATGAAAAGTTAAAATAATGTTTCATATTACTTAAGGATAGGGTCTCATAGATGCTCAGATCATGGACCCGCCGAATAAAAAATTGCGGCTGTCTCTAAAAATGCGATTATGGACCAGACAATTCAGTGAGCTCATGAACATCCACGCCTTCAGGACCGCCTCCGTAGAGCGTCCGCCCGGAGAGCGGAAGGTCCGGGGTTCGATCCCCGGCCGCGTCATACCAAAAAACGTTAAAAGATGGTACTTGTTGTTACCCTGTCTGGCGCTCGGCATTAAGGGGCTAAAACAAGTACTGGTCGGCGCGGAGTCAGTATACTGTGTCTGAGTGGGGTATTCATGTTAAACTGCGGCATGGTATCTCAGTGAGCTAGCACTATAAATCGGCATTTGTCTGGACTAGTACAAGCAGCCACACACACACACGTACATGCACGTCGCTATATAAGTGCAATAATCTTGGACGCGACGTTAAACCCAATTTCACCTCACCACGCCTTCAGGGTACCACACAATCCACTTAGTTGCCTCTTAAGACAAATGTGTCAAATATTACTTCCGCCTGTCTTTGTTTATTTGTTTTTTAACGCCGCACTCAGCAATATTCCAGCCGTATGACGGCTGTCTGTAAATAATCGAGTCTGGATCAGAAAATCCAGTGATTGATATCATGATCATCGATCCAAGCAATTGGGATCGATGACATGCATCAACCAAGTCAGCGAGCCTGACCACCCGATCCCGTTAGTCGCCTCTTACGACAAGCATAGTCGCCTTTTACAGCAAGCATGGGTTGCTGAAGACCTATTCTACCCCGGATCTTCACGGCATCATACTAACAGTACACTATCTAAATACATATGGACAAGGATTTGGTATTATAAACAGAGCTTGTGCTCAAGATAGGAAACATTACATACCTCTCGTGAAAGGTGCTTTAACAAGTGAAAAAGAATTAATTTTAATCCCTAGATTTTCGCCGACAAGAACGCTGGTACATCTCAGTCCACAGTTTAGGTTTTCCTTGTGCTCTTGGAGGAAAGCCATGCCCTCACATATCTGAAAAGAAAACGTATAAAAGCAATATTAGGAAAATAGAGTTTGTGATTGGATGATGCTTACGTTGCAACCATCAATAATGAAACTGTATCACGGCGGCCTGTACCCATCGAGCCTGGACCAGACAAGCCCCACTCTAAGCATCATCCACACCAACCGGGCACGAAGACATTCGATCAGCCAAGTCGCAGAGACTTTCCTCCCTATCCAATGTGGCTCCCCCTTTCGACAAGCATAATTTACTAGGGGTCAGTTCTAACCCGAATCCTTTTTGGGTTTGTTTAACTTCGAGTTCAGATGGCATCAAGGTCGTTGGTGAAATATTATTTACTATTCTCACTATTGATTCAGGTACATCACCAAGACAACAAACAAATTTACAATATGTTATTTTTCTACACAAAAAAATACACATACATAAGTCATGATATTTCCACTTTTGTATGTTGAATATAAACCAACAAAATGGCTAATATACTTTTTGTACCTTATAATGATACAACCACCATCCGAGTTCCTTCATCAGTTCATATGCAGACACGAACATCTCCATTACTTGTGGAAATTTGATGTTTCTCCCCCGGGCGGTGGGGTAGCCAAGTGGTTGGAGGGCTGGCTCGTCACGTCGTTCGATTCCCCAAATGGGTTCAATATGTGAAGCCCATTTTCCGGTGTCTCCTGTCGTGATATTGCTGGAATATTGCTACAAGCGGCGTAAAACCAAACTCACTCACTCACTCACTCACTGATGTTTCCCCCCTGAGAACTGCTTTGTATATTTTTCAAAACTTTTAAAATGTGTGCGATTCACAATAATGTTCACTTAATCCGTTTACCTGGCTGGCTATGTTCACGCATTGTTGGAAGTGGATTGTCTGCCCTTGGTCATTACGTAGGAAATCTCTGAGGTTGCCCTCAACCATTAACTCCGAGACTAGCTGGAACATGTTGGTGGTGATCATGTTGACCCCCAGAATTTGTACAAATCTGGAACTATCATTTCAAGAATAGCAATGACTCAGTACTTGAAAAAGAATTTAACATTATCCTTTCAGAAACGATGAAAGCATCTTCCCGAGGCAAGAGAGTTAACTGACTTCAAAAGTCCAGTTTCCACCCTTGCCGAAATACGCTGGAATTCCTGGGCTCGATCGTAGCGCCACCAGTGGCTATTACGTGTTATGTCCCTTTTATGCCTCTCCTATGGACCAATTAGATTCCACCTCTCGTATCACTTGCATTTGCTTCAAACAAAATGGCGGGGCCCAGTCAAGACAATCTCATCAATAATCAAGATGTATATTGTGATAAAACGGGCCTCACATCGCGAAGTGAATCAAATCACGTGAGCACCTTGGTTAAAAACATGAGAAAATTTGGAAAATATCTGCTGACAACGAGTTGGCGGTGCACATGCTTTGCAAATCATGCAATCTACCGAAATCTGAACGACAGTTTAGGAACCGGATTTCGATTATATTGCGCGATTTTGATTGGATTATGCCAAGACTCGTTAGTCCATCCAAAGTCTAACTCCATTATACCATCCTAGTTCGGCAAGGGTGGACTTTTATAGTCAGTTTACTCTCTTGCCTCGGGAAGATGCGATGAAAGTGTGAGAGTTAATATTTAACGGCAGATCGGCAGTATCTCAGCCATATAGTGACGATGAAACGATGAAAGGATAGAACAGAGATGAATGACTGAAGTAGAGCATTTCATGTCTATCATCATTCCAACAAAGGGTTTGGTTTGGTTTGTTGTTTAACGCCGCACTCAGCAATATTCCAGCTGTATGACGGCGGTCTGTAAATAACAGAGTCTGGACCAGACAAACCAGTGGTTGACATCATGAACATCGATCAACGCAATTGGGATCGATGACATGCTTCAACCAAGTCAGCGAGCCTGACCACCCGATCCCGTTTGTCGCCTTTTACGACAAGCATAGGCGCGTTTTACAGCAAGCATGGGTTGCTGAAGACCTATTCTACCCCGGATCTTCACGGGTCTCCAACTAAGGGGTGGCGTGTGGTTAGTTTCATACAACGCTAGTAACTCTACCTAAGACTAAGTCCTACTCCTAAAGTAAACCTTTGAGATGTAAACATGACATGAAAGAATAGCAAATACGTGGTAATATTTACTCTTTTGCATGTCAATTTTCCAAATGATCTTTGTTTTGTGGAACATGACAACAAAATTCATATGAAATATAAGCCTGAAGATTGGGAATCAACGCCATCAATTGGTACGGTTCCAAACCCAGTTCAACAAGTCTTTGGTTCATTCCATTGCGTTCCGCTCCATTCCGCTGTGAAACTACTATACAAAGTGACCTTTTACACCTTACACTGTAACTTTAGGAAATAAAAAAGCTATACTGTTGTTTAACGCCGCACTCAGCAATATTCCAGCTATATGACGGCGGTCTGTAAATAATCGAGTCTGGACCAGACAAACCAGTGGTTGATATCATGAACATCGATCAACGCAATTGGGATCGATGACATGCTTCAACCAAGTCAGCGAGCCTGACCACCCGATCCCGTTAGTCGCCTCTTACGACAAGACCTAAGACCTATTCTATCCCGTACTTATTGTACTTTAAAGGATAGCTTAATCGCATTTTGACTGCAGACCCAAATCAAATTAATTTACATGAGCAAAGTAACACAAACGGACGCTGTAGTCTTTCTTTGTTGTTGTTTAAAAACGCACTCAGCAATATTCAAGCTATGGCAGTGACCTGTAGATATTCGAATCTGGACCACAAAATCCAGGGATCGATATAGTGAGCAACGATCAATGCTGTCGTGGTTCGAAGCCACGCAAACAACAAGTCACTGAGTCTCAACACGGTCCATTAAGTCACCCCTGACACCCAGCAAAGGTTGCTGGGGATAATTCTTACCGGAATCCCCAGGGGAATATTTCGATTTTAAATATTCTATATACACTGACACACATTGCTAAAGTTATGGCATCTTCTTATGACGGGACGATAACAGAATATGTAAACAAGCTGTGGTTTTATGGTTGAAGTATGTTTTTCAGAATCCGTATTCAGTAATTATATAATTACCTTTTATTTGAAAGGAGCAATGACACTCTCTTAATTTCCAACATGAGGATGTCTGGTGCTACTGAGGTAAACATCTCCATATCGACCAGCTTTATAGCCACGGACAACGCCCCCTTCATGGTCCCTGTTGCAAAGAAGAGCATGTTAGTTGTTTAATGCCGCACTCCAGCTATATGGCGGTGACCTGTAAACAATCGAGTCTGGACAAGACAACCCAGTGATTTATATTATAAGCAACCTCGTCCCATGCCGTCAGGGTAGGATGAGTGATCAACCAAGTCATCGAGTCTAACTCCTGGATCCATTTACTCCCCTCTTACGACAAGTATATGTCTGGGGATCAACCCGGAATGTTGGAAATCAATGTTTTAAAAGGTTGAAACCGACTCTGTAAAATCGTACATTCTGACAATATTTTCAGTATGCTGGAAAAAGAAATGACGATTTTACCTTTAAGCACCCACCATTTGGGTTTCCGGAGGATCGCTGTGGGCTGTGGGCTGGGGCCTGTGGGCTGTGGGCTGTGGGCTGTGGGATGGGTGCTGTCTGCTGTGGGCTGTGGGCTGTGGGATGGGTGCTGTATGCTGGGGGCTGGGGGTTGTGGTCTGTGGGCTGTGGGCTGGGGGCTGTATGCCGGGGGCTGGGGGTTGTGGGCTGGGGACTGTATGCTGGGGGCTTGGGGCTGGGGCATGGGATTTTATCGGAACAAAAAACATTGTGCCAGAAAATTCTTGACTATCAAATGCTCGGCACCTTATGTACGATGTACTCTTTAAAAGTTATATGGCGGCGGTCTGTAAATAATCAAGTCTGGACCACACAATGCAGTGATTGATATCATACATCAACCAAGTCAGCAAGCCTGACCACCCGATCCCTAGTCTGTCTTACAGACCCTGATACGAATATATATCAAATACAGCCCATGCAAGTCTATAATGTTTGGCAAGTCTAGATCACTGCAGTATCTGAAAATGAAGAGAGTCACTGGGCTCCTTTTTATTATATTTTTATTAAGATAACTGAACAACTGTTTTTTTATGTAAGATGTGTTCATTTCAGAGACTAGATGTTAGTCTACCCGATCCCATTAGTCGCCTTTTACGACAAGCACGGGTTGCTGAGGACCTATTCTACCCGGATCTTCACGTGTCCTCTTCAAAAGGTATGCCCTTAATATGCATATATGAAAGGGAAGTCAGTTTGCAATATGTGACCCAAATATATGGAACCGATTTTCGCATCACTGTCATTGTAACGATTAAATGTCAACTTATTTTTAGTCCCGGCCATTTGCTGTGTATATGCTGTATATATGCTTATAACGAACAACGGTTATAACGAACTAAACTTAGTGGTCCCTTTGAGTTCGTTATGACTGTAGTTTACTGTATATGAAACCAAACGAAGGTGTTTGGCGTTCATAGTTAGATGTGCATACTACCTTGGAACACTTGTCCATAAGTGCCTCTGCCGATGTCGTCCATGACGACGAGGGACGCAGGTTTAGTGTCCAGGTCCCTGGCCCCAACTGTTTGTTTAGGCGGTGAAAGACATTCTTGTAGACGGCAACACATGGATCCGTCAGTTTCTGAAACCATATATATTTACAATATCATTTAAGCAACTTATTTTGGTAAACGATGGTCTATTCCTTTCTTTTGGCGCATAAAAGAAGACCCGTGAAGATCCGGGGTAGAATGGGTCTTCAGCAACCCATGCTTGCCGTAAAAGGCGACTAACGGGATCGGGTGGTCAGGCTCGCTGACTTGGTTGATGCATGTCATCGTATCCCAATTGCGTGGATCGATGCTCAAAACGTCAATCACTGGATTGTGTGGTCTAGACTCGATTATTTAAAGACCGCCGTCATATACCTGGAATATTGCTGAGGCGGCGTTAAACAATAAACAAACAAAACAAACAAAGCATGAAAGAACGTGATAGGAAATTAATCGAAACGTATCCTCTATAGATCTTTATTGATTGCGTGTAAAACAGAGAAGAACTATTCATTTTCGGCCGATAATCTCCACGGAACAGTGGGTTAAAAAAGAAAGGCGTTTATTTCTTTGTATCCCTCGCTACCAGCATCATAGTTGCTTTAACCACCCAACACAACACTTCTCGATGTAGAGAGAGCAGCAGTTTAGTCGCCACAAAACCCCAACACTACTGCAGTCTCTGTTTACTGTATTTTGGTAACCCCGGATAATTCCAGGTGAAACATGCGCCGCCGATTACCTGTGTAATAATCCAGGAGCTGGGTGACGGACGTAAACGTTTTCTGCGGAGAAATGAACAGGGACTTGTCTCTGCCCTCTCGGATCTTATACCTCTTCACTCCAGTCTCCTCCCTTACTGCATCTGTGTGGCGGACGTCCAGGACGTACCCACCTGCCAAAATAAACATCCAGATCGTACACAGCTGCCACAATAAACATCCAGATCGTACACAGCTGCCACAATAAACATCCAGATCGTACACAGCTGCCACAATAAACATCCAGATCGTACACAGCTGCCACAATAAACATCCAGATCGTACACAGCTGCCAAAATAAACATCCAGATCGTACACAGCTGCCAAAATAAACATCCAGATCGTACACAGCTGCCACAATAAACATCCAGATCGTACACAGCTGCCACAATAAACATCCAGATCGTACACAGCTGCCACAATAAACATCCAGATCGTACACAGCTGCCAAAATAAACATCCAGATCATACACAGCTGCCACAATAAACATCCAGATCGTACACAGCTGCCACAATAAACATCCAGATCGTACACAGCTGCCAAAATAAACATCCAGATCGTACACAGCTGCCACAATAAACATCCAGATCGTACACAGCTGCCACAATAAACATCCAGATCGTACACAGCTGCCAAAATAAACATCCTGATCGTACACAGCTGCCAAAAGAAACATCCAGATCATACACAGCTGCCAAAATAAACATCCAGATAGTACACAGCTGCCACAATAAACATCCAGATCGTACACAGCTGCCAAAATAAACATCCTGATCGTACACAGCTGCCGAAATAAACACCCAGATCGTACACAGCTGCCACAATAAACATCCAGATCGTACACAGCTGCCGAAATAAACATCCAGATCGTACACAGCTGCCAAAATAAACATCCTGATCGTACACAGCTGCGAAATAAATATCCAGAACGTACTCAGCTGCGAAATAAATATCCAGAACGTACTTAGCTGCGAAATAAATATCCAGAACGTACTCAGCTGCGAAATAAATTCCCAGAACGTACTCAGCTGGGAAATAAATATCCAGAACGTACTCAGCTGCGAAATAAATTCCAAGAACGTACTCAGCTGCGAAATAAATATCCAGAACATAGATGCCAGATTATGTCACCCCAAGGTCTACAGATGCCAGATTATGTCACCCCAACGTCTGCAGATCCCTCATTAGGTCACCCCAAGGCCTACAGATGCCAGATTACGTCACCCCAACGTCTGCAGATCCCTCATTAGGTCAACCCCAAGGCCTACAGATGCCAGATTACCTGACCCAAGGGCCTACAGATGCCTGATTATGTCACCCCAAGGCCTACAGATGCCAGATTACGTCACCCCAACGTCTGCAGATCCCTGATCACGTCACCCCAAGGCCTATAGATGCCAGATTACATGACCCAAGGGCCTACAGATGCCAGATTACGTCACCCCAACGTCTGCAGATCCCTGATCACGTCACCCCAAGGCCTATAGATGCCAGATTACATGACCCAAGGGCCTACAGATGCCAGATTATATCACCCTAACGTATACAGATGCCAGATCACGTCACTCCATGGTCTACATATGCCAGATTACGTCACCCCAAGGTCTACAGATGCCAGATTACGTCACCCCAAGGTCTACATATGCCAGATTACGTCACCCCAAGGTCTACAGATGCCAGATTACGTCACCCCAAGGTCTACATATGCCAGATTACGTCACCCCAAGGTCTACAGATGCCAGGTTACGTCACCCCAAGGTCTACAGATGCCAGATTACGTCACCCCAAGGTCTGCAGATGCCAGATTACGTCACCCCAAGGTCTACAGATGCCAGATTACGTCACCCCAAGGTCTACAGATACCAGACCACGCCAAGTGAAACGAGAGATGGAATCTGATTGGTCCATAGGAGAGGCATAGAAGGGACATAACTCGTAATAGCCACTGGTGGCGCTACGATCGAGCCCAGGAATTCCAGCCTGGTTCGGGAAGGGTTGAAACTGGTCTTTTATAGTCAGATAACGCCCTTGCCTCGGGAAGATGCTTGTAGAGATGACACAATAAACACTGAAAATGTCAGAACATCAAGAATTCGATCGAACATCCTCAGTGAATAAACACCAAGAAAGAACTTTGGTGACGACATGAACAGCGGGAGTGTCAAGATAACATTATGAGCAGCGTGAGGGCAGGTTCACAGGAACTTATATCAACAATCAAACTATATTGTATATTATCTCCTTAGCCAGAGCTTGTCTGTCCTATGTGAAGTTCCGCTCCACTGAGATACTAATACCACGTGAAGTATTAATTAAAGCATTGGAAATAATACGATGTTCTCCGCATGGTATTTTGAATTTGCTAAATAATATTATTTTAATAACATGCATCTTCCTACTTGAAGCCTGTTTGATGATGTATGTTCCGTCCGATACACCCTCACTCAGCAAGAGTCGTTCTCGTTCTAGCTTTCCCATTGTCCTGTAGTAGCTGCAAAGACAAAATCTATGGAGATAACTCTCCATCTCCCATCACGGATCCGATAGTCCCTCGCGTCTTCCTAGTAAGTCAGTTTAACCCTGCGTGGCGTGTCAAGGATGTCTGTGGTCCATAATTTTACAGTTATGTCTCCTTTCTTAATAGTGAGTGAGTGAGTATGGTTTCACGCCGCTTTTAGCAATATTCCAATATCACGGCAGGGTACACCAGAAAGGGGCTTCACACATTGTACCCATATGGGGAATCGAACCCGGGTCTTCGGCTTTAACTACTAAGCTACCCCAACGCCTCTTCATTTCCTAATGACATACTTAATGAAATAATAATAATTAAAAATAACATATCTGTAATTGTGAGTGAGAGAGTTGGGTTTTACGCGGAATGTAGCGATATCACGACAGAGGGCACCTGAAATGGGCTTCACACATGATATTAATCACTGGATTGTCTGGTCCAGATTCGATTATTTACAGATCGCCGTAATATAGCTGGACTATTGCTGAGTGCGGCGTTAACAACAAACCAACAAACCAACTATACAGTTTCATGAGAATATAAGCTGGTAGGAATGTTATCACTGTCTTATCAACTATTATATTACAATTGATAACCTAACGTTCGTTCAAAAGGTGGCACATGCAGGCATGTATCTAACAGGAGGGGGCATGTAGTGTTAAAATATGTATAGTTAAGTAGACTGTGTAATGCACAGATTGTAGACTGCTTGACAGTCAACTAATATTTGGGTCTCCGTTTCGGAGAACACCAACTCCTTAGAGCCAAACATTCACCTTGTGATATTGTCACGTGGCTTAGCAGATCTGAATTCATGTGTCTTTACCTTGGCACGGAATCCTCAGAGACGTAGTCACGTGGTACGAAGCCTCGATCTCGCCTATTCGAATGTGTCGCCAACAGCCAATCATCTCGATCCCTGGAAAATATATTTCACTTAGAATTAAAATAGGAAGTTATCAACATCAATCATATGAATATGATATGTATGTGTCAAGTTTCACATTCAGTATTGTTCTACCTGTAGGTTTTGTATGTTGTTAAAACATGGGAATACAAGTGTAAAATGTCCGAGTCCCGTAATTGGATTCGAACCACGGACCTTCTGATCCGAGGTCGGACGCCTTGTCCACATGACCAAAGAGGTTAACCCCGTCAACAGAAGGCACGTCCCGGGCCGCAAAGTAGGGCACTGAGGCTTATTTTGCTCATGTAATATGAACATGCTCAGGCCCACGTTGGGCGCCAATGTATGGTACCCGACGGGCGCCAATTGAGCGGCCATAAAATTTCCGAGTACCGTGATGGGATTCGAACCACGTATCCACTGATCCGAGGTCGGACGCCTTGTCCACATGACCAAAGAGGTTAACCCCGTCAACAGAAGGCACGTCCCGGGCCGCAAAGTAGGGCACTGAGGCTTATTTTGCTCATGTAATATGAACATGCTCAGGCCCACGTTGGGCGCCAATGTATGGTACCCGACGGGCGCCAAGTGAGCGGCCATAAAATTTCCGAGTCCCGTGATGGGATTCGAACCACGGACCCACTGATCCGAGGTCGGACGCCTTGTCCACATGACCAAAGAGGTTAACCCCGTCAACAGAAGGCACGTCCCGGGCCGCAAAGTAGGGCACTGAGGCTTATTTTGCTCATGTAATATGAACATGCTCAGGCCCACGTTGGGCGCCAATGTATGGTACCCGACGGGCGCCAATTGAGCGGCCATAAAATTTCCGAGTACCGTGATGGGATTCGAACCACGTATCCACTGATCCGAGGTCGGACGCCTTGTCCACATGACCAAAGAGGTTAACCCCGTCAACAGAAGGCACGTCCCGGGCCGCAAAGTAGGGCACTGAGGCTTATTTTGCTCATGTAATATGAACATGCTCAGGCCCACGTTGGGCGCCAATGTATGGTACCCGACGGGCGCCAAGTGAGCGGCCATAAAATTTCCGAGTCCCGTGATGGGATTCGAACCACGGACCCACTGATCCGAGGTCGGACGCCTTGTCCACATGACCAAAGAGGTTAACCCCGTCAACAGAAGGCACGTCCCGGGCCGCAAAGTAGGGCACTGAGGCTTATTTTGCTCATGTAATATGAACAGGCTCAGGCCCACGTTGGGCGCCAATGTATGGTACCCGACGGGCGCCAAGTGAGCGGCCATAAAATTTCCGAGTCCCGTGATGGGATTCGAACCACGGACCCACTGATCCGAGGTCGGACGCCTTGTCCACATGACCAAAGAGGTTAACCCCGTCAACAGAAGGCACGTCCCGGGCCGCAAAGTAGGGCACTGAGGCTTATTTTGCTCATGTAATATGAACAGGCTCAGGCCCACGTTGGGCGCCAATGTATGGTACCCGACGGGCGCCAAGTGAGCGGCCATAAAATTTCCGAGTCCCGTGATGGGATTCGAACCACGGACCTTCTGATCCGAGGTCGGACGCCTTGTCCACATGACCAAAAAGGTTAACACCGTCAACAAGCTGACAAGGTAAGGATGTCATCTGTCGGACGACTCCACGCCCTGCTACACAAGCAAGACCTACCGCAAAGAGCGGACGTGGTAGAAGTGATCCCCCTTCTTGAAGGCCAAGTCGCATTCATGATAGCCTTCAAAGTCGAATAGTGCTGTACAGTCTTTAATCTCTGAAATGATATTTAATTGCGCTTTCGGACTCAAAATGTTTTTTCATAAAATGCAGAAACAGTTTACACGATAGTTCAATGTATTGGTTTAATAGATTGCTTTGTGAGAAGTTCAGCAAAGAACAAAGATGTTTATAGGCACATGCAGTATTTTTGTATAGACCTGGGCCCACTTGCACAAAGCGATCTTAGTGTTACGACTATTGTAAGCCTATGTTAAAGTATGGGAGTTACGATCATCTTAGCGCTAAGATCGCTTTGTGCAAGCGGGCCCTGGAGTGAATAAGGAGTAACATAAAAGCAATGTCACGCATGTATACTTAATGTCACGCATACCAAAGCTGTATCACATATGTAACGAGATTATAACGAGGGGTGAAAGAAACTATACCTCTCAGTTCATTTTATCATATGTTATATCCAAAACATGAACTGTACTAGCACTGAGTCAGCACTCAAAGTATACTTCTAAATGTTAATTTAAAAAACCCATATATATTTTGATCTAAAACTTTAAAAAATTTAAAAAAGACAATTCGCATAATACACACCTGTTGATGGGTATCTAGACATCTTATCTTTGAAAACCAATCAATTTCATTTTTTTCGGGTCAAATATACAACATTTCAACGTGGTTGCAAATTCATTTCATACCCCTGTCTTCATTGAACCAACACATTTTACGCACAATTACCCAGACACAGATTCTATTTTACAACCTGTTGCAGGGATGAGTGATGGTAAAATAGACATAATCAAATTTAACAACATTTCTCAATTTTCAGTTACATAACAAATTCGGCATACTGCCCCTCTTTTGTACATATATTACATATACTACTGCTATATCACAAATGTATACAAGATTATACATATATAATATATTCATATCACATATGTAAACACGATTAAATACATAACTTAGCTGTACAATATTTATTATTGGTATACTAGGACGTATACTTGTACGTTAGAACCGGGAAGAGAATAGGTCTTCAGCAACCCATGCTTGCCGTAAAAGGCGACTATGCTTGTCTTAAGAGGCGACTAACGGGATCGGGTGGTCAGGCTCGGTGACATGGTTGATGCATGTCATCGTATCCCCATTGCGTAGATCGATATTTATGATGGAAAAAACCTGATTGTCTGGTCCACACTTGATTATTTACAGACAGTCGTCATATTGCTGGAATATTGCCGAGAGCGGCTTTAAACAACAAACAAACAAAAACTAGTACGTTCGATACCATCGCCAATGTTGGGTTCCAGGCTTCTGCGAGCTGCCTCCAGATCATGAGCCGAGGAACATTCCGAAGTAGGGTTCGATTTGACCTTTGACTTCCCTTTCTTTCTTGTAATTTTGTTCCCCATGATTCCTTTTACCTGAGGTGTATGATACATGTTGATATGACATTACTGTTATATACAAGAACGTTTACAAAGATATTCGTGGAGATCCAGGGTAGAATAGGTCCTCAGCAACCCATGCGTGCCGTAAAAGGCGACTATGCTTGTCGTAAAAGGCGACTAACGGGATCGGGTGGTCAGGCTCGGTGACTTGGTTGATGCATGTCATCGTATCCCAATTGCGTGGATCGATGCTCATGATTTTAATCACTGGATTGTCTGGTCCAGACTCGATTATTTACAGACCGCCGTCATATAGCTGGAATATTGTGCGGCGTAAAACAACAAACAAACAAAGATATTTGATAGGATCACGGGAATAGAGAGATGATAGGTGAGGGTTCGCTGCTCCACGATGTTTTTCACATATACATGTCAAGATGAAACACTTATCTCTACATCTTTGACGATAATTATGAATTGTGGATTTCAACTCGATATATTCCTATTCTATATTATTAAAATGCGACGTTTCAATCCAAAAGGTCAACCCAGTAGTTCAACCCTGAAGGTCAAGACAGAAGGTCAACTCGGTAGGTCAACCCCGAAGGTCAACCCAGTAGGTCAACCCCGAAGGTCAACCCTGAAGGTCAATCCAGTCTTAGTTTTTACTACAGCTTCAAAATACGGCTCAGAAATATATGAATTATTAATACTGTATCTTTTGAGCGTCTTTACGGTAACGATGTACAAACCTTCTGGTTTTTACCATCAGTTTAAGCAACCATGCCTTATGTCGGCACAATATATCCACAGGGAACAAGAAAAGCCTGTGAAGAGTGGGATATAAGTGCAGGATTGAAATGAGAGACGGACATGTCCTCGAACATGATGCAGATATATTCACCACCATCGTCATGTTTCAGCCTTCAGTTCCGATCACCTAGATTGCGTACAATAAGCCAGAGCAAGCCAATCGCTGTTTGAATGATTATATAAGATAAGTACGCGATAATCACAAAGAACAATGAATAACGAAGCGTGGCTTATTTCACGATAAAACATTGTTCCATCATGACGTCACTTCCGGAGATTAAACCCAAACTTAACCCGCCTGTTCTTAAAATGGAATAGTCCGACATGTCCGGTTCGGATTCAGAAAAGTGAGTCATCATTATTAAAATATGGGAAACTATTTTTAAAGCTTGTACATTTTATCAACACCCTTGAAGAGGCTGTACATAATGTTGATATCTCATATAAGAAACAAACGACCCGTGGTCGTTGTTTATCGTACAATTAAACACCGGGTGAATAAACCACGAGGAACGCAGCAGTGTTTTATTGTTCGATAAAGAACCACCACGAGTCGTTTATTTCTTAAATATAAACGCTTGACTTTAAAGATGGCCCCGTTCTTTTCCATCATTGAACAATATATGTCAGTGAGATGACACTGTTCGTTACAACATGGCGTGTTCTATTACATGTACTCACCCTGCCCGACCCAGTCGCTATGTACAGCTACGAGGAAGGCTACTGCTGGCGTTCGTCCTGTGACCGGAACTGCCGTTATCTGACAGGGCAAACACCACGCTAGGCGCATGCGGTAACACTTAGGACATCCGGTTAATAGTACACTTACTTGTCAGATGGTCTGTTGTGTTGCAACTTCAGGCCTCATTAGTATATACAATACAAGTCATTAAGTTTTTATTTATGGAACATGTATATCAACCTAAGCTCTCATGAAGATGATGTATTTTTAAGTGTGTGATATACATGGTAACATCATTGGTAACACTATGTTATCTCGTTTTGATTTACTTTTCAGTACATACATTAGGTGAGGTGAAATTGGGTTTAACGTCGCGTAACGACGTGTGCGTGCGTGCGTGCGTGCGTGCGTGCGTGCGTGCGTGTCTGATTGCACTAGCCCAGGCGAGTGCCGATTTTATAGTGTTAGCCCACTGAGATACCATGGTGCAGTTTAATATGAATACCACACTGAAACGCAGAATACTGAATCCGAGGCGATCAGTCCTGGTTTTAACCCCTTATATATCGAGCGTCAGGCAGGGTAACAACAAGTACCATGCTCGCGGTTGATCGTGTGTCATCGTACCTGACGACGTGAGATATTGCTCATGATATCAACAACTCGTTTGCCTGGTCCAAACTCGATTATTAAATTACGCCGTGGTATAGCTGGAACATTGATGACTGATGTCTGTAACAACAACAAGCCTCCTTACTCTACTCAATATTACTTATTTCCAGTATTCAATATTGTTTATCATGAGTTATTTCCCGAGAACAAGAACCCAGTGTCAGTAGCTTACTCGTTTTGAGGAACAGATTGAACAATGGAGAGTTACGCCCCTTAGCCGTATCAGGATCTGGTTGTCGTGGTTTTGAGTCACATCTGTTAGGGTCCTTGATCTGCCAAGGTGGCACACATCTGTAACATACGTTATTATATTTCCCCCCATCATTATGCTAGTGCCCGTAATATGAGCAACATTAAATACAGCACCACTCACTCACTCTCTCTCACTCTCAACAGCGGCTATATTGGATTCTACTATTGGCCTCAGTTTCTCTTTAAGTATCTAGACAGTTTGATTTCTGCAACCGTTCCCAACAGTAAATCTGCATGATTCATGGTGTATGAATATGTGGTATTGGACTTTCCGTGTTCTTGGTAACGTTATGTGGCAATAGATAGTGTTGCAGGTAGTGATGAGGGACGGTTGGGTAGCCTAGTGGTTAAAACATTCGCTCGTCACGCCGAAGACCCGGGTTCGATTCCAAACATGGGTACAATGTGTGAAGCCCATTTCTGGTGTCCCCCGCCGTGGTACTGCTGGAATATTGCTAAAGGCGGCGTAAAACCATACTCACTGACTCACTCACTCACTGTGAGTAGCAGCAAATGAATGAAGTGGTCGTACAATACCTCCACTGGAAGTGTGCTTTAGTAAATTAGGATTACTTCATTTTCGTTGTTATTCGAAAGTTTTGGAATGGGAAATTTCTAAAAGGCATAGAAGGCCTGGAGGATTCGAGGCCTTACCGACCTGACATGCGTCTTATATACTTGCCCTGCGCGGATGGGATACCAATCTAACAAGAGTTTGCCATTAACGTGGCTATATCCCCCGCCCCTGTTGCAGAATTTATCACACAATTAAATCCAAACAAACCCTAACCTTTTTTAACCGAGGTGGAACTTGTCATTGAAATTGTAAAAAAAAGAAGAGTTTGGAACCTAAGTCCATCTTGTTGCCATGGACACGTAAAAAATATAAATTTCTAAAAATTCTAAAGAGCAAAAGGCACCAGGTCAGCATGTACCTGACAAACCTGCAAAGTTTCATGAAAATATATTGAAAGTTTTCTGAGTAATGCTCCGGAAACGAAACGTGACGGCCGGACGGCCGGACGGCCGGACGGAGCCCGTTTCTATATCCCCCGCCAACTTTGTTGGGCGGGGGATAAAAACACTGACATCCTGGCAGCTTCGAACCCGACTCCCGATTGGCCTGGTTATTTGAAGCCAATGTCTGGTGTCGCCCGCCGTGACATTGCTAGAATATTGCTAAAAGTGGCGTCCAATCCATTCACACTCACCCGCTCACCGATTCCACAATTTAGTTCTGTACGAATAGATTTATTGATAAACCTGCGTGCCCAAACGTTTTAAATAGTGAGTGAGTGAGTGAGCTGGGTTTAACACCGCTTTTTACAGTATTCCAGTTATATCGCGGCATGTCAGCTTAATGAGGGAGGAAAGCCCGAAATGATGCAGGTCTCAGACTATTTCCACTTGGGTGAAACCCACGAGCACGGGTATGGTGCTGACAAACCTAGAAACATAATCGGGGCGAACCGGGATTCGAACCCACAGTCATAGCTTTCTGTCGTGCCCAAGGGACGCAACTCTGCACAGCGAATCGCGGCGCCTTAGACGACTGTGCCACTCGTGCCCCCCCCCCCCCCCTAAACGTTTGAAATAACTCCAAAACAGTAATATATAAAAAAAAATGGAAAAATGTCAGCCTAAGACAATCTCCTTATTGGTACTGTGTTCCAAAAGGTTCTCGTATTTGTCTTACAGTTTGTCCTTGTTCCTGCAATAACTATGTCATAAACTGTTCAACTCTTTTTCGCACCAGGAAAAAACAGGAACTGAACCGGAAATGCTCTTTAGTTCCTGAAACAAGATATATGTGTTCAGTTTTGCTACACCGGAAGTGACAGCATCCGGGTAGGAACGTCACCAACAAAGCGAGGGCCATAAGGATTTCTTGCTTTTCACCCCTTCACGGTGCATGCGGTGCATGCGGTGTCTGAAATGGGAAGAGACAGACGTTGTTTTGATGCATTAATACTGGAAAGTTTTTGTAAGACGTACGTATTTCAATAATAATATTATTATTGCAAAAACTACAAATTCCCATGGGAGATTGCTTGCTTGCTTGCTTGATTGTTTGGCAATAAATATTGTATTTTGTATATTCTAACTGTATTTATAAGGACTAGCTGACAGCAATTTGTGAATGCGCTCATAGAATGACAAGTTCTGCTTGGCTTTGGTGAGGCTCCCATGGCAACTCGTATACTGTTGTGTGGTGACCTAGATATACAGAGAGATCTCTAGGTCTTTTGTTTATATTTAAAACTTGACATCGTCGCTACCCTTCAGGTATGAGTGAACGCCACTATTGTGTCGTCATTTCCACAAATATGGCTACCTTCCAGTCTCTTCCATGGACAGTACCTTCTGGAACGCCCCCTGGGCCTATATAAGAGCAAGACGAGGAAGACTCGAGACCTTCCTTCCACGACCTGACATCGGGGACAAGATAGCTATTGGAAAAGACTGATGTTTCTGCCTGTTTCAGGCACTTCCTAGTTTCAAGTGGGACCTCGTGCCTCATCCAATCTATTCAAATTGTTTGATAGGATTTACTTAGAAGTTGACGGATGACAAGGTAGACACAATTTAATGGATAATAACTTCTTTAATACTGTGAAAAGCGACGTTTCGGTATAGATCCTACCCGTGAAGACCCGGGGTAGAATAGGTCTTCAGCAACCCATGCGTGCCGTAAAAGGTGACTATGCTTGTCGTAAAAGGCGACTAACGGGATCGGGTGGTCAGGCTCGCTGACTTGGTTGAAACATGTCATTGATCCCAATTGCGTGGGTCGATGCTCATGATATCAATCACTGGATTGTCTGGTCCAGACTCGATTATTTACAGACCCCCGTCATATAGCTGGAATATTGCTGAGTGCGGCGTTAAACAACAAACCAACCAACCAACCTTCCACGACCTGACATCGGGGACAAGATAGCTATTGGAAAAGACTGATGTTTCTGCCTGTTTCCGGCACTTCCTAGTTTCAAGTGGGACCTCGTGCCTCATCCAGTCTATTCAAGTGTGACAATTACTGGACATTCGTGCGTGCACTTAGTGACGAGGGTTTATTATTGTATATTACTGCTGTCTGATATGTTTTGACCAGTGTGTCATGTATCTCACCCATTGGCCTAACATGGTTGTAATCTTTATCCTGTGTATATCAATAAATTTTGTCAATCGTTCATTGATCTTGTGTAGTTATTTGCTGATTTCACAATCTAGTTCTGTAAGTTCCGATTTCTAGGTTAAACTTCGAGTTTCAATTTGGGCATCAACACGTAACAGTAGAATGTGGTTGTTGAGTGCATTGAGAAATATGACTCGCATGACAAAGAGGAAACAATTAAAACAGAATTAATTGAGAACAACTAATTTGAACCTATTGCTCCTCAACTGCTCACTGAAAAATTGACAGCCATGACAAATGTTAGTATCACCAGTTTCCAGTTACAGCTATGTACTTCGGAAGCCACATTTGATTCAAGATTGTTAGTTTGTATTTTAGGTTTGTACATGTATCAACACTGTCCTCCTTTCAACATACTTGTTGAAATGATTCCATACTTTCTATATATGGTTTCAATACGTCCTTCACCAACCTATGATCTGACTTTGTTTGGTGACCAACTGGATTTTACTGCAGATTGTTTTTCGCTTTAAAAAAGTGTAAAAACCAGATGGTCATATGTCCACATTTGACCAAAAATGATGTTTTTCATTTTCTTTCCAAATGGGTGCTTTTCTAATATTGTAGTAAATTTTATGAATCCCCTGTACCTAGTTAGAAAGTAGTTTTTGAGTGATTCAATGTCCAAAAATTCCTGTTACTTCGAACCAGGCTGTTCTATGACCATGTCAATGTCCATGTGTCCAATCAAATTCTTGACACAGATCATGTGACAAGGAGACAGGACCACATAGTACCAAATCATTTAGAGATAGAACCGTTAGGTCATTTATTTACTGTAGAATGTGAACTAAGGGAATGAATGTTGTGATCTGTATGGTGGCCGAGAGCGGACATCGCTTTCTCGCTCTATCGCTTTCTCGCTCTATCGCTTTCTCGCTCTATCGCTTTCTCGCTTTCTCGCTCTATCGCTTTCTCGCTCTATCGCTTTATCGCTTTATCGCTTTCTCGCTCTATCGCTTTCCCGCTCTA